AGGTACACAGCCTTCACAGACTGAAGCTACCCACACCGAACGCATGGACACACATACACAACCATTTCAGGATAACAACCACCCCAGGCACACACAGAACTGCCTCTCCCAAGGGACTTGCAGGCAGTCAGGGCCCAGCTACTGGTGGTGTCTAGCGCAGGCTGACTGACACACGCTGACACGCTCGGCTCCTCTCCCTCCCACTCGCTGTGCCGGAGCGGCATCTCCATATTTCTTCTCACTCTCCCGTCACTCTCCCCCAGCTCCTTTACTCCCGGTTGCCCCCTCCACACACACACCCCAAGATAATTGATGGCCTGGGCCTGGCCGGGCGCTCCTGCCTCTCGATCCATCAGTGCTGTCTCCCAGATCCCTGCCACCTGAGACAGGCCAGCCCGGTGGGCAGGCAGGGTGACTCCTCCCGCTCTTCCAAGCCAAGAAGTGGGGACAGGAGGAGTACCCCGTTATCCTCCAAGCTTCAACCCGTGGTTGATCCTTCTCTGCTCAGCTGGTTCTTAGAGGCCCCTCCTGGAAGGAAGGAGCTGGTCTCTGCAGAAGCCAGCCCTTTCCTGATGCTGGATGGTGAGGATGTCACAATCAGGGCCATCACTGGGAAAAGCCAGACTATCCGGAAAGGTCTCTCCTTTTTCCAACCCACACCAAAGCTGGCTTTGTCTTTGAGCCCACATTGGAGCTCTGTGACAACCCAGAGATCATCAGGTCACATTCACAGGCGTAGAAACGAGGGTCCAGACACATGAAATGACTTGGCCAAGATCACAGAGCTTGCAAGGGCTACAAGGTCTAACCCAAAACACACTCCTGAGCCACCGTTGTGGTCTGCCCAGTCCAGCGTCTCTCTTATTTCTTCCCACACAGGCAGTCAGTGGCCAGATAGCGGAATCCGGAAGGCCGCAGTATCTGGAACTGCGACCCGCCTTGGCCGGAGGGGGCGCCCGCAGCCAACACCTCCCGGCGCCCGGGTCTTCCGAGGGCCTGGGCACGGGGCGCACCTGGAGCTGGGCCTGGCCCTCTAACCACACCGGGGCGCTGGCCAAGCCCGGGGCTGCTGGCGGCCCGCCCGCGCCGCGCACCAAGAGGAAGCCATCCATTAAAGCGGCCCGCGCCAAGAAGATCTTCGGCTGGGGGGACTTTTACTTTCGTGTTCATACCCTCAAGTTCTCGCTGCTGGTGACCGGCAAGATCGTGGACCATGTGAACGGTACCTTCAGTGTGTACTTCCGTCACAACTCGTCCAGCTTGGGTAACCTAAGTGTCAGTATCGTGCCGCCTTCCAAGCGTGTGGAGTTCGGGGGCGTCTGGCTGCCTGGGCCTGCCTCCCATCCTCTGCAATCTACGCTGGCACTAGAAGGGGTGCTCCCTGGACTGGGCCCCCCTCTGGGGATGGCGGGGCAGGGGCTGGGCGGCAACCTTGGGGGCGCACTGGCCGGCCCACTCGGAGGCGCGCTGGGAGTGCCGGGGGCCAAAGAGTCGCGCGCTTTTAATTGCCACGTGGAATATGAGAAGACAAACCGCGCTCGCAAGCACCGCCCATGCCTGTACGACCCGTCACAGGTGTGCTTCACCGAGCACACGCAAAGCCAGGCCGCCTGGCTCTGCGCCAAGCCCTTCAAAGTCATCTGTATCTTCGTCTCCTTCCTCAGTTTTGACTACAAACTGGTGCAGAAGGTGTGCCCAGACTATAACTTTCAGAGCGAGCACCCCTATTTTGGATAGCGCCCCTGTCCTGGGCCCCCGAGCTTCCCACCAGATCTCAGCCTCACTAGGTGGGACCCTTCCCTTTACCCCATGCTCCTGTGACTGCCCCCCACGTCTTCCACTGTGGGTAGGGTGGAGGAAAACAGGCTTCCCCGGGACTATCAGTCAGCGTGGTTCTCCGTTTCCTTTTGGCCCCGAGTGTCCCTGAGGCTGGGGTAGTCTCAAACGAACCGTAAATTGGAGGAGCCAAGAGCACAACCCCAGAGTGGGAGGGGCTTGGACGCTTTCTTAGGGTTCCTTACGAATACGTCTTGGTTCCCCTTTTGCCCACCCTGCAGCTTTAATGACACCTGGCCTGACCCTTTTTCTTACCCTAAGCGCCGGTCCTATCTACCCCTCAGGACTGTAGCAGTCTACAAGCCCCAACCCATCTAGCCCCTTCCCTTTCTGCGTGCCCTATGTCGGTCCCCCGCTCTCTCCCAACCTTACTGAAGCAAAAGTCCTGAGCAGGGGGCTCTGCCTGGCCCCTGTGCTCTGCCCCCGCCCCCCCTAATCCGCTCGCCCGCCCGCCCCCCAGCAGTCCGGCTCCACTTGCCCTCTCTGGCTGCTTCCTCTCGGTGATATTTTTTTTTTCTATGCCAAAACAGACGGGAAAGGGAAACAAAATAAAGCGAAATCCAATACTCGCCTGTGTGAGACCTTTGTAGGAAAGGGGGGCGGGCAGGTGTGGGGTTTGTCTGGTAGAGGTTGAGCCAAGGCCTCCTTTCTTGGAGTCTGTTGGGGGAAACTGAGACAGACTGACAGACCCAGCACCTGTGCCCATTTGAGACCTGATCAAGGAGTGATCGACCAATGGGTAAACGTCACCCAGGTGGGCATTATCTCTCTCTAAGGAGGGTGAATGTTAGTGAAGGCAGATAGAATGGGGATTAGACCTAAGGTGGACTTCCGGCAGTGTATTTGGGAGACTTGGAGGAACGGAGGTTTAAGACCTTGAACGGGACGGAGTGCTAAAAGGCGGCTAGGCTCCATCCACGAGGCTGGAGGGAAAGAGAAGGTTGGGAGGGAAGGGGAACGGTGTTTGCGGCATCTGGAGTCATCGATCTTCCTTTTCCTTCCTAATTTCGTGGGCGCTGAGTTTGCAGACGGCTGAGGGAGGGAGGGAACATTGGGAGGAGGTGATGGGGGAAGGGACGAGTGCAGGTTTGGAGGGCGGGGCTGAGTCGCGGCTGGTAGCCGCTAGCAAGCGGCCCCCTTCAGCCAGCTGCCCACCCCTCCACCTCCGCCTTCAGCTCCCTCCTGCAGCCTTGGCTGCTAATTTTATCCGCCCCCAACCCTGGCCCGGGCGTTAATTGGCTGCAGCTTCATTAGCAGTTCTCAGCTCAGCAGCCCCCCTCCCCTTGGGACCCCCCTGGCTGGGCCTTGGGGGTGGTGGTGCTGAAAAGCTGAAACAGAGAGTCTCTCTTCCTCTTCAGCCAGACTTCTCTGGAGTTCCGGGTAAAGGTGCCCACGGAAAAGAGAGCAGTGCCCTCCACAGGATTGCCCACAGCGTAGTCTGATACTGAGTATAGGGGCGGATCTGACCCCGACATGTCTGAGAGTAAAAAATCACGGGGAGAAAATAAATATGTAGAGATGGGGATGGAGCTCTTACCTAGCATGCCGAAGGGGTTCAATACACAAATAAATGAAGGAGGATACGGATACGTAGCCGGGTCGGAATGAGAGGAGAAGGAAGATGGACTGGTTTCCCTCTCCTGGGCCTGGTGCCGGAGTTGCCCGGAGTTGCCCGAGAGAACTGAAGCTCTGGAGAGACAGCCCTAAAAGATACTCAGACACTTCATGTGAGACCCAGGTGGGACAGCTGAGGGTGGCAGTGACTGGACCGAGCAGGCTTGCGACTACACTCTATATTCTGTCTGTAGCACTGTGGAAAAGATCACACGTCCTTCCGTGGATCATCCTCCTCTCTCGCGACTCAAACATTCCTCCTCCAAGGCTCTGTCCACCTATTCTCCTCTCTTCCTTATGCATCCAGTGTGTGAGAAAAGTGAGCTGCTGGACTCTCTGCCCCTGTTTAGTTCTTCATGCCCCCCCCCCCAGGGTTAAGGCACACCTAGCATGGCTCAATGTCAGTTGAATGAATAAATGTATAAAATGGCTGTATAGGGTAATGCTCCTCACAAAAAGTGCTTGCTGGAATCCCCAAGGGAGGTTTGGTTGTGTGTCTTCATTGCTGTCTTTGAGAGACATTGAACTAGAAGGGGTTTTTTTTTGTTTTTTGTTTGTTTTGTTTTGTTTTTGTTGTTGTTTTGTTTGTCTGTTTTGGTTTTTCTCTGTAGCCTTGGAGCCTGTCCTGGAACTCACTCTGTAGACTAGGTTGGTCTTGAACTCACGGAGACCTACCTGTCTGCCTCTGGAGTGCTAGGATTAAATGCATGCTCTATCACCGACTGGCTGAACTAGAGGTTTTAAGATATCCCCAGCTCATGCAGAATCTTCCCTTGGAGAGGTCAATGAGTGCCTCATTAAAAGATTTACTCCGATCAGGTTCAAGAACTTGGTGATTGCTGGGATAGTCTGTGAATAAGTACTGAAAGGCACCTGCACCCTGGGATGGCCAGAGGAGGAGCGGCTTACTTTGCCTCGGCTGACGGGCCACGAAGGAAGCAGTTTTGAGTCAGGAAGACGATCCACAGGGAGCTTGTTCACAAGTAAAGCTTCATTTCATCCCTGCCATACACTCTTGTATTGTGTTTGGGGGCCAGGGTGTGACCAGGCTCACATTTGGTGCACTGGCCTCTAATTTTATAGGTAGCTGAGGCTAGCCTTGAACTCCTAATCCTGTTAGTGCTGGAATGACAAGCGTGGGCCACAACAATTATTTCATCATGGTTTTACAAGTGAAGAAAACTGAGGACCGGCGAGGTTGTTTTGCTGTAATCCTAAAGCAGGGGCTTGGGTCTTCTACCCTTTCAAATTATATCAGCTCCCACTGTGCCATAGTTCTTTACCTTCTGGAAGTGTCTCTGAATCTCCCAGAGGATTTTATAGTTAATCTGGCTACTTGGTAGACACAAACCAACCAACCAAACAAACAAACCAAAGAAACCAACAACTGGCGGGAAAAACAACGACAACAGCAACAACAATAATAACGACCCTGAGCTTCAAGACTCTTTCAGGAAACCCGGAGGTACAGATGCAAAATAAGAATAAAAACTACAATTCCCAGAAGGCCATATTCTAGAGAGTACGCATGCGCGGGTAACTCCCCTTTAACTCGAACTTCACGGGGGTATTTTTCTCGCGCCTGCGCTCTAAGGTCAGTCGGCTTCCGACCCCTCCCCTGTTACTACTCTGGGCCGGAGTTGGTGGCTGGTCATTCTGTGACCTCCGGTAGCGATGGTGCCCTTCTCTTGGCTTTGGACCACTCGGGTAAGAACTGGATTCTGGATACTGGAGGGCCAGTGGAAAGGCCCACCCCACTTTAGTTCCTCTTCACAAAGTGGGGTTCCCCTGGCTCCTTCACCGCACGTGTTCTGGGGCCTCGGGGAGCAGATGCTTAACCAGGAAATCCCTGAGAGACCTGGACGCACGTGCGGTGCCTGGGCCCCTAGTCCTGGCGACCAGACGTCCCAGGGTCTGTGATCGCACCGTTCACACGGCTTCAGGTAGAGGTCCGCAGACCCTGCGTTAGCAGTGTCCTAGCGAACAAGTGGGGTTCCCGGCTTCGATGTGCTAGTTTCATTTTTCCCGCCAGCTCGGAGTTATGGAGATGATGCAACCGAGCCTCCGTGCTTTCGTCAGGCAGGGGTCCCGCTGCAGCGTGGGCGGAAGGAAGTAGGGGGGTGGTGTGTGTGTGTGTGTGTGTGTGTGAGAGAGAGAGAGAGAGAGAGAGAGAGAGAGAGAGAGAGAGAGAGAGAGAGAGAGAGAGAGAGAGAGAGNGAGAGAGAGAGAGAGAGAGAGAGAGAGAGAGAGAGAGAGAGAGAGAGAGAGAGAGAGAGAGAGAGAGAGAAAATTAAGATTTTGGCTTCCTTCTGGGCAAACACCGTCACTCTACCCCCACTCCCGCCAGTACACACCTCTTTCCAAGAACTGCTTAAAAGTCTGTTCTACTTTCGTTGCTCTGGAAACTATCCTTACAGCCTGTGGCATTAAGCCCTGTTAACTTGGTGTCTTCTCTCATTGGGTAGTCTCTTAGGGAGGCTGTGCAGGAGGTCCTCCCCCTTTATGTCCGTATTCTGCCTTCATGTATGTATGTCCATCACATGGCATGCTTGGGTACCCACAGAGTTCCTGCAGGTATCCTGGAACTGGAGTTACAAATGGTTGTGAGCTGCCATGTGGGTGCTGGGAGCTGAACCTCTTGTCCTTTGCCTTGTACAAGAGCAACAAGTGCCCTTAACCTCAGAGCCACCGCTCCAGGGCCAGGAAGACCCTTTTGTTCCTGTGTGGGGACGACCCTGAATTCTCAGTATTTCTCTTCTGAATTTGGGGGATATGGACTTCTGGAGGGCAAGCTTTGCTCTGTGACTTGACAGAGCGACTCCCGGGGTTGGGTGGAGGGAGCTTTGGAGGGGGTTGAGTAGAGCTGATCAAAACTGCCCTTTGGATAGTCATCTGAACCTTGATGCTAGAACTTGATTTTCAAGGTGAAGGTGGGGGTGGTGAGAACCGAGTTTACTGGCTGGACCAGGCTGCCAGCTTGGCCAGAGGGCTCTCTGTACCCGTGGCCGAGGGCGATCGGGAGAGGTCTGGACAATTTTTAATTAATCCTGGCTTTCTTGCCCTATAAGCCTCTGCAGCGATGTGGTCAGCTGGTCTGGATGGCTTCTCGGGCTCAGCACAGCAAGGTGGCCCAGACACAGGCTGGGGAAGCAGCTGGAGGCTGGACAGGCCAGGAGACTCTGGCAGACAGTGACCCTGAGGTGTGGGAGCTACTGCAGAGGGAGAAAGACAGGCAGTGCCGCGGCCTGGAACTCATCGCCTCAGAGGTAGGGTGTGAGGATGTGGGCCGAGGACCCAGCTACTGTGAGTGCAGGAAGTAACACGCCATCTTCCTGTCGTTTCTCCGGGGTCTTCTCCCGCTCTCTGGACTGCCCTCAGAAGCATCCAGTTGATGGAGCTTCTGGAGCCCCTAGAGTTTCATTTCTTCCCTGTCTCCCCCTCTTGTCAGAAGAAAGAGGAAACACAGGTTGAGTGGACAGTTGGCCTTACTGGGACCATCTATCATGGCAGCTGAGTTTGAGAACGCTGCTTCTGGTCCTGCCTTGTGCCTGGCAAGGAACCCAGAGTCCTAGAGCTTTTTCTGTAGCCTGTCTCTCCCCTAACCCCCCAGCCTGTGGGCTCTGGCAGGGGTGGGATGGTGGGAGTCCAGGGGAAGGGGCTCATTGCCTTCTGACACTGCCCCCCCCCCACCACCCCAGAACTTCTGCAGCCGAGCTGCGCTGGAGGCCCTGGGGTCCTGTCTGAACAACAAGTACTCGGAGGGTTACCCTGGCAAGAGGTGAGGGCTAGACCGATGGGCTGGAGGGCAGCATCAGGGATGGCACTCCCAGTGGCAGAGCCTTCTTGAGCCCATTAGTGCTTACGAAGGTGACCGTCCCAGCCCTTGGCTTCTGGCCAAGTGTCCTTTCTCTGTGCCCTTATGTACCCTCTCCGTGGTAGATACTATGGAGGAGCAGAAGTTGTGGATGAGATCGAGCTGCTCTGCCAGCGCCGGGCCTTGGAAGCCTTTGACCTGGATCCTGCACAGTGGGGAGTCAATGTCCAGCCATACTCGGGGTCTCCAGCCAATCTGGCTGCCTATACAGCTCTTCTTCAGCCCCATGATCGAATCATGGGGTTGGACCTGCCCGACGGGGGCCAGTGAGTATGGCTAGGATGGATGATGGGTTCGGTGGGCAGTAATGACGTGGGATGGGAGTTAGAGAATACATATCAGGTCCTGTGAGGATGGAACATACCTGTCCCATGCTACAGAGGAGGAGAGCAAGATCCTAACATCCAGGGGAGCGCACTGTGGAGACAGGGGCGGACTGGAACCAGTGTTCCGGGGACGGGTGTGTGGAGGTGGGCTGGAAGCGGCTGGTTAAGTGAAGTTATTTCACTTTGAGATTCTTTTCTTTCTAGTCTCACGCATGGCTACATGTCTGATGTCAAACGGATCTCTGCTACATCCATCTTCTTCGAATCTATGCCCTATAAGCTCAACGTAAGTGTCCTACGGCCTGAGCACTGGCCCTGGGGGTTTGTTCTTGGCCAGTGGGAGGACCTGGAGGTCCAGTCTTCAGCCCCAGGGAGCATGAGCTGCACCTGCTGCCACTTGAAGGCTTTAGCTACTTATCTATTTATCCAGCCCCAAACCGGCCTCATTGACTACGACCAATTGGCATTGACCGCTCGGCTTTTCCGACCACGGCTCATCATTGCTGGTACCAGTGCCTATGCCCGCCTCATTGACTATGCCCGCATGAGAGAGGTTGGTGAGGGGCTGGAGAGCAAGGGTGGGGAGTGGGGCCGGGAAGGATGGCTTCCCCAGGCTGAGGCACGTCTCTCTACCTGCCCAGGTTTGCGATGAGGTCAAGGCACACCTGCTGGCAGACATGGCCCACATCAGTGGCCTTGTGGCTGCCAAGGTCATCCCTTCACCTTTCAAGTATGCAGACGTTGTCACCACCACCACTCACAAGACTCTTCGAGGGGCCAGGTCAGAACTACCTGGGGTTAGACCTTGCTAGGGAACTTGAGGGTGGGTGGAGTGAGGCTGGACCCTTCGACCACTGGGGTTCAGTGCATCAAGCACAGTTGAGGGGCCTCAGAGCCTCTGAGTGTCCAAAGGAGCCGTCTCCTCTGTCCCCATTGCCTGTCACTGGCTTAGATCCCAACTACTTGTCTTCCACATAGGTCAGGGCTCATCTTTTACCGGAAGGGAGTGCGGACTGTAGACCCCAAGACTGGCCAAGAGATCCCTTACACTTTTGAGGACCGAATCAACTTTGCTGTGTTCCCATCCTTACAGGGGGGCCCCCACAACCATGCCATTGCTGCAGTAGCTGTGGCCCTCAAACAGGTCGGGGAGCCTCCTTCCCTCGTGTCGGGGTGCATTGGTCCAGAGGCTTTGCTTCCTTACCTTGTAGCTGAGGCTGAGGCAGATGGAAGGGAAGTGGCTAAGGTGGGAGGCAGCAAGGTTGGGGTTGGAGTCTTGCTTAGTTCAAGTCCTAAACAGGGCCTGTTCTCAGCCCTGGGGTGACGGGGTGCTGTCTTATCTGCAGGCCCGCACCCCCATGTTCCGGGAGTACTCCTTACAGGTGCTGAGGAACGCTCAGGCTATGGCTGATGCCCTGCTCAAGCGAGGCTACTCACTGGTGTCGGGTAAGCCAGCGGTGGGTGAATGCCTTTGTGCCCTCAAGAGAGGCCCCAAACTCCCCAATCTCTGTTTACTGTCCCCCTAAGGTGGCACTGACACCCACCTGGTGCTGGTGGACCTGCGACCCAAGGGCCTGGACGGAGCCCGAGCGGAGCGGGTGTTGGAGCTTGTGTCCATCACTGCCAACAAGAACACGTGCCCTGGAGACCGCAGTGCCATCACTCCCGGGGGCCTGCGGCTCGGTGAGGCCTGGGGTCTGGGGAGGGGAGGCTCCTGGCCACACTCATGATCCTGACTAGGCTGACTGTCTGTCTGCTCCACTCCCAGGCGCCCCAGCATTGACTTCTCGGCAGTTCCGCGAGGATGACTTCCGTAGGGTCGTTGATTTCATCGATGAAGGAGTCAACATTGGCTTGGAGGTGAAGCGCAAGACTGGTGAGTGGCCGCAAAGGGCCCCAGCCGAGGAGTTTGCACCCATTGTCCTCCCTGCTGCTTGTCTAGAGCTCTGACATCTCATACTCCTTACTGCTTTCAGCCAAGCTCCAGGATTTCAAGTCCTTCCTGCTCAAAGACCCGGAGACAAGGCAGCGTTTGGCCAGCCTCAGGCAACAGGTGGAGCAGTTTGCCAGGGCCTTCCCGATGCCTGGATTTGATGAACGCTGAGGACCACGCAGACTGGAAGTTACCTTTCTTTCTCCTACCCGGACCACAAAAGAGACACCCACCACTGATCTTTCTGGGTTTCGGTAGAGGGAGGAAGGCCTTCTGTTTAGGGCAAGAGCCAGGCATAAGCCCCCTCCTGGAATTTGTAGGTGAGATTTCTGTTCTGTAGCCATTTCTAGAAGAAGCCCCCAACACACACCCAGCTTGTCTTTGAGACAGGGTCTCACGAAGCTGAGGCTGGCCTTGAACTGACCTTCCTACCTCCACTTCCCAAGTGCTGGGGTTGCAGGTATACACCATCACACGCAACACCCCCTCAGCTGTCTGCCCCGGCCCTCTGCCATATCTCAGTGTTAGACTCTTGCTCTTTCTTGGGTAGGGGGACTTGAGTGCTGAGCCCGAGGAAGGGGTGGGCAGACACCCTCCTTCCTGTTTTTATCTAATAAAAAGCTAACCTGCCCAGAGTTCCTATTACTGTGGGAGGGGTCCCCTGGGCCAGCCAGGGATTCGACTCCCTTAACATGTATTTCTCCTTCCTCCCACCACCATAAGGACCCCCGGGGCTGTAGCCTCCCCGCTCTGTCTCTGATCAGAGCCGACACCAGACGTGATTAGCAGGCGCAGCAAATTCAATTTGTTAAATGAAATTGTATTTTGCCCACGGCTGCTTCTGTTTGATCCCCAGGGACTGAGGAGCAAGGGAAGGGAGGGGTGGGGAGAAAGCACAGGGAGGCCCAGGTGCAAGGTGGGAGGGGGTGCCATTGATGGGAGGCACCGGCTTGGGCAGGAAAGGACAAGCTGCCTGGTAGAGGCTCTCCATCCTAGGCAAGCTGGGTAGCCAGGACGAGCCCGGTCGAGCCTGGGCAGCCACTCCCCCTAGACCTTGCTCAAAACTTGCACTAACGTGGGGCCTGCCACGTCGCTTGGCACTCAGGCCCCTGCTTGCTGTTGGCACACGTCTGTCACGTTCAACACGTAGCCTTGCCACGCCCAGTTAGCCGTGGGGGGCAGGAGTGGAGAGGGGCTAGCTTGGGCCTTTTGGGTCAACCCCAGCATCTGCCTGCAGCTTTGATTACCCACCCCCACCGTGGGACTCAAGCTGAGGGTCAGAGGTTCTTCCTCTACTGGGAGCAAGGGAGGAGGATGAGGGTGGAGCCACCCCCCTTCCGCGTGGGAATCCAGCCCATGTAAGCAGAAGCTGGACGTGGCTAGAGTCTGGGACAGCGAATGGAAGAAGCGCGTGATTTCCATGGCATCCTTGAGCCCTGCCTTAGAAGTCTGGCCGGTCCTTCTTCAGCTTCTTGTAGTCAGTGGAAACAGCGAGGAACTGTGGGGAGGGAAAGGAGATTGAAGGAGTGTCTCTTGCCTCCCTTACTTGCTGTGTGTGGGGTACAGGTCTCGGGCCAGGAAGGAGGTGGAGGGGGGCACTTTAGGTCCATAGTCACCTTGTACTGGTCGTTAGGACTCACTCGGTTCCAGGGCTCTGGGTTCTTTCTGTCCCAGCTGTAAGGGGGATAGGAAGGTTAGGGTCTTTTCTGGGGACCAGGACACTGGCATTAAAGACCTTAGTGTCACCACACCTGGTTTCCTACCCTGGAGAGGGGAGCACATTTCCTTGAGATTGACAGAAGGGGGCATGTTAGCATCTGGTTACATGTCTAGTCCATGGATTCCCCAGGCTTTCTGCCTCTAGGTTAACCACTCAGAGTCCTAGGAGCCAGTAGAAACCCTGAAAAGCAGGACTTTGGTGGTACACCTCAAGTTTTAGGGTCAGAGTGGCCTTGTCAAAGGTCCTATTGATGCTTCTGGCAGGACATGAAGTCTCACTGCCACCAGAGAGCCCCAGAGCCCCACACTGCCAGACCTCCAGCACTTCTGGGCAGGCACAGAGGTACCTAAAAGCCAGATGTGGCCAATAGAGCTGTGTCGCCATGGCAACCCTGTGGCGAGCGGGATGGGATTCCAGTCGCCCCACGTGGCTAGCCACTGACAAGTGAGCCACCAGGTGGTCCAGATGGGCGAGGAGGGTCTCTCAGATCAGGCATTTCTGCCCTCTGAAATGCTGGGTGGTAAGAGTGGAAATAAGGGCGTAGACCAAGGGACCCCTTCTAGGGTCACCCATTAGTTACCGTTAATCCTAAGCAGTCCCATTTTGCTCCGCCCAGGACCCCTGCTTGCCTCCCAAGCCCTGTAGTTACCAGACATCCGGGCTACGCAGCGCCAGTCGAAGCAGATAGAGCCCAGCACTGCCCATGCCCAGGCAGATGAAGCCGATCATTGGGATGAGCTGCAGAAAGAGCCAGGTGGTCTGGGGTCCGAACCCCGCCCAGTTCCCACCCACTCGTCCTGTACAGGCCTTTGTGTCCCTCTTATTCATCCAAGGTCGGGTCCGCCTTCCCTTCTGGGAGCGAGACCTGAAACCCCCAACCACATTTTCCACGCTCCCTTGCCCGACATGAGCTGGCCCAAGGTAGATTCCAGGGATATGGATTTACTGCAGAGACAGAATGTGGGATGCCTCTGGGAAGATTTGGGAGCATTATGGAAACTAGACCGGAGGCAGGGTCTGGGGGTCTTGAGAGGTGGGGTCGTAAGAGGGAAGTGAGGATCTGGGACTGAACTCACCCCGGGGTGTCTTTTTATCTGCCGGTAGAAGCGGGCCCCTGAACTGGTTCCTGCCATCTTTTTCCAGTGTGTTCTCCGCTGGATCTGTTCTATTCCTCTCCCTGGGGTGCCGCCCCCCATCGGGGAGGGGTCAGCCCAGCCCAGCCAGCCCCACCCAGCTTGTTTCCTCCCAGCAATTCCAGGTCCAAAGAAGACTAGAGAGCGTTGGGAAGCCTTGAAATTTCTCCTTCCCAACTCTCTCCTACAGATGGGGGAATCCTGGCCCACGAGACATCATTATACTTGAGTCTTTGGGTATCTGAGGGAGAAGGCCCTCTGGCACCCAGAGACTGAAGGGGGACCCCGATGCGGGACAGGCAAGCAGACAGCCCTCTAGCAAAACAGGGATGTGGAATGTCCACGGGAGAGACCAAGGAACAGCGAGGGCATCGCTAGCGTTTTTCCCCACACCCCTGGAGCCTCCCAGGAGCCAGCAGGCCTTGAGAATACAGGTTCTGCCTCAGCACATGCAGTTGGAGGAGGCGGGAGGCAAGTGAGCATTGCTAGCGCCCCCAGCGCCTCTTGTTCCAGGGCAGTTCCGCTGAGTTGTGGTTGGCCTGGGGTAGTTAGGGGTGGAGGCTGTAGGTGCATGAATCTCTGCACTGTTCAAAAAGTAAGACAATGGCTGGGGCAGTCTGGGGGCCTGAGACAGAAGGCAGAGCTCTCTCCAGGGAGGGAGCTCTGAACGAAGGAGGCCGACTTTAGAAGGCTGGAAGGGATGTCGAAACAGCGAAGAGAGAACAGTCAGTTCAAGTATACCTGTATTGCCAGGGCAGGAAGTTCCCCCCACCCTCCATCTTCGGAGGACTGGTTTTGGGGACACAGGGTGAACCTCATCTCCCTCTCTCATGTTAATTTCTATCACGCCCTCCCACTTAGCTTCTGCTCCCGGATCATGCGAAGCTCCCCCATTTCTGCCCTAAAGAACTCGTTCTATGGTGGGCACCCAGCAGGGATGAGCCACGTACCCGCCACTGCTTCCCTGGGGTACAGGGAAGGGGACAACCCTTTCTGAGGGGCCCCTCCCCTCCTCACGCACCGACACCTCTCCCGCCCGCCCCTTGAGCTGACAAGCTCCGCCGTAATTAGGCTGCGGGGTCCGGGCTCTCCGCCTCCCTCCGGCGGATAATGAGATAAAGTGTCAGAGACATGGCGAGAACAAAGAGACAGAGACTCGCTGAGATGGGGGTGGGGGTGGGGTGGTGGAGGGGGGCTGATGGGATGTCACAGTCTGGAGCATCAGCACCTTTAGGGTTGGGCCAGGGAGGATGTGTCCCTCACCAGTATCCCCCCCCCCCCCGAGCCGGAACCGCTGGAGATTGGGGTGGGGGTGGTGCTAAATACCAATCTTGAAGCTTAAACTCCAACAGCTGCCCAGCTGGGCTGCGCATCTGGTGGTACTCTGTAGTACAGCTGGGGAGTCCGGACTCCGGGAGGGACATCTGGCCTTTGCTCTTGGGCCCTCGCTTGCCTCTTTCTGGTGACTTAGGCCTGGGGAGAGAGACCCAGAGCCTGTCCTGGTACATGGAGGTAGCAGGTTTCTCCTCCCTTGGGTCTCCAGTCCGCTCTTTTGTTTAATTTTTTAAATTATTATTTCATGTGCATTAGAGCTTTTGCCTGCATGTTTATCTGTGTGAGGGTGTGGGATACTCTGAAACTGGAATTACAGGCAGGAATGAGCTGCCATGTGGGTGCTGAGAATTGAACCCCAGTCCTCTGCATAAGCAGCCACTTCTCTTAACCGCTGAACCATCTCTCCAGCCCCATTTAAAAAAAAATTTTTTTTTAATCCAGTTTGCTCTTAAGCTCAGATATTGTCCGGTCTTAAACTCAGATATTATATTATCACTTCTGCTCTTGCCTTTCCTCAGTTTCTTGACACTTCGTCTGCTCCTGATCCGGACCTCTGTGTGCCTATCTCTGAAACCCCTCCCCTTCTATGTTCCCCTATCTGGATGGTGGTCTTTGGGGTTCCAAGTCTCACCCCATATCCTCCCCTACATTTTCCCCTATAGTAACTCAGACCGTGCTGGCCCAGCAGGTGAGGGACAACAGGAGTCGTTAGCCGAGGATTAGGCACAACCCGTGGTCCCAAGAGGACCAGACTCTTCAACTCTAAACCGCTCCGGGCTACTAATCCGTGTGGCTGGCGGTGTAGCAAGTCAAATGCAGCTGGGCTCTCCAGAGCGAGCAGATTGCAGGGGGGGGGGGGGGGGGGGGGGGGGGGGGGGGGGGGGGGGGGGGGGGGGGGGGGGGGGGGGGGGGGGGGGGGGGGGGGGTGTCCGTGGGTGCGGGTGCCCTCTGGAGGCCGAGCCGCTCTCAAGTTCAGAGAAGAGGTCTCGGGCTCCCCCTATCGGGCAGAGAGTGCTCTGCATTTCCAGTGTTTGCTCAAGTCTGCGCCTGGAGTGTGCTGTGCACACCGGTCTGTGCCCAGTGACTTGCTCGTGCAACCGAGGTAGGACCCTCTCAGCCTCCTCTCTTCTGGCTAGTCAGAGGACACAGATGGGGCGAGGGCTCTAGCTCGCCAGGTGTGGACAGCATCCAGGTTCAGGCTGAATTCTCTCTCTAGGCTGACCTCACACACTTGGGACTTCATCTCTGCTCTAGTACTGTGGGGACTTGCCTCTGACTTGGCCTTCCCTAAGACCCCGGTTGACTTCTTTCTGCTGCTCTTCAGACTGTCTCTAGCTCTGTGTCTTTCGGTATGTCTGCTTCTCCTTGACACTCTGCTCCCGACCCATCCACCTAGCTTTGTCCTTTCGTGTCTGCTTCTCTGTGTCTCTCCTTCCCCCTTACACCTTGCTGTGGTCTCTTTGCAAATGCCCCCCCTCCCTCCCTCCTCTCTCTCCCTTCTTCCCTCCCACCCATCCGTTCTTTATTTCTATTCTGTGGTTTAGTACCCGTCCCTGGGGAGTTGCAGCAACCCAGTGGAACAGCTCGCGGACACTTTGGGGGCATTGCTCAGGGTCCCCTCCCATCACTTCCACATTCCTGTCACCTCGCTGCAGCCTCTGTCTTCCCGCTGCAGCTGAGGTACTGGAGAGGGCGCCCGAGAGGGACGCCACAAAGCCCTGCATATGCTCAGGAGCCTCGGGGGTCCTTGACCCCCGCTGCCACTATTAAGGGCGCTGGGTCCTGAGGCTCTGAGATGATCGTGACTGCAGCAGCCAGACAGAAGTGGAGCCAGGAGCCTAGCGGCAAGCAGGCTAGTAAGCGAGACAAAGACGCCCGCGCCATCTGTTTATGCAAAGCGCTCACCGCTAGGGACCCTGGTGTCCCGGTGCCTCGCTCAGACCCGGGCACAGGGTCATGAACCCACTTCTGCCCAGGGCTCCCGCTATGCCTGGGCATCCCCTCCTCCCTGGCAGCCAGAGAGCCAAGGGGCGAGCAGAACAGGGAGGGGGCGGGGTGTTGATGTGATTGGAGAGGACGCGGCTGTTTCTTCAATAATGGATGGAGATGATGCGGACGGCGAGCCGGCCGGGAAAGGAGAGAGGAATAGAAATGGAGAGAGAAAGAAGCGGGGGCGGGAGACTCAATCAGAGGCTGTCGTGCACGGGAACGCGCGCACACGCGGGCGCGGGCGTCACACTGTCATTCGGGTACATGCTGCCGCGCAGCTCACACCCAGGCACACGCCCACGCACTGTCACCGAGACACACACCTGCAAGCAGAGACGCCAGAGCAGCGCGCGCGCGCGGGCACACACACACACACACACACACACACACACACCCCACACACAAGCACACGGCAGTGGCTCTTGAATTCCACATACACGATCCTGAAGGCACCGACGCCTGCACGCCGGAGCACATCCAGACTCAAAGAGCGCACAGACACGTCGACATGTCAAAGCACGTTTGAAAAGAATGCTCAACACACCTAGCCACCCTGGGACTTACAGACAGAAATCATAAAAAGGAGGAGGCGGGGGTAGACAACCCGGGCAGTATAGACACACAGGCACTGACAAAATTGGAACATATACAGGAGCAGACGTATCTGGGGCTGGGATATAGACACACACCACATCCCAGACGTGCGTATGCCATACACTAGGAAGCGCTGAGAAAGAGACCCCTCCACGTGCCTTCAACGGGGCTGCACCTAAGCAAAGGCAGGGGCTGCTGTTTGTGCCCTGCTGGGCTGAGTGTGTGAGAGGGGTCGCTGGGACAGGCTTGTTAGCCCACATTAGCCTAGCGACGTAATGAGGAAGTGGTGACAGGAGCGCCTGGGGCTGTGGACTCAGAGGCCGGTCGCCCCCACCCCCACCCCAGCCTCCAGCCGCTGCCCCACAAGCTTCCTTCCCAGCCCTCAGGTACAGACCTCCGGCTGTCCCTGCTGTAACTACTCTGGAAAGCCCTGACAGCCCCAACTTAAGTATGCGAGAGGCAGAGCGATGGCTGGTGGGACAGAAAGGACAGCCTTAGAAGATCCCCAGGAGCCCCAACTGAGTTGAGGTGAGGGTTCGGTATCTCACCTCCAGGCACGCTGCCCAATCAACTTCTAATTTTTTTTAAATCTGTTAGAACCTGGAGAGGGGTGGGTGTGCATTGTGTCCTGGACCCTGTAATACCCTGGCCTTTCCTCTCATTTGTTTTCAATGCAGTCTGCTCCTTGGCCCAGACTTATGACCTTTGCAGTGTGTGGCAGAACCATCCATCACCCAGGCAGCTGGCTGGTGGGAGTGGGAGGCACTGGGGGCCAAACAGTGTCCCTGTCACACCTCCTGCCCTCTCCTGGGACTGGCCAGGACTCAATTCAACTGGCCGAGTACTGAGCAGAAGGGTATGATCACCCGGTTCAATCAAGACACGATTCTCCACCCCTGGGACCCCAGCACCCCTCCTTCCAGATAGGCCCAGCCTGTCTCCCGGCTCCTCCCAACCCTCCCCCTTCTCTCGGGCCCTTTGCTTAATTTCCTATTAACTGCTGATAAATCCAATTAAACCGCCGCTCTAATTAGGGACAGCTGCTGGCTCGGTAAGGCGAGGGAGAAGGGGGGCACCCGTGAGTATAGGGAGAGAGAACAGCCGCTCTTCCTACTCCTCGACACCCCTACACCAACACTGCCGCCCAATGAGCCAGTAAATTGGTTTTGCTTCAGTATTTTTGGGGGGCTCTTGAAAGCCCGAGGGGCTCAGTTTTTGAGTCCCTCAGACCGTTTGATGAATACAGACAATCGGCATCCTCGTCCTCCTTCCCCTTCCTTGTATAAAGGGACTGTCCAGTGTTCCTCTAAAGCCCTGGCCTTCACACCACCCGGCTTTCGGAAGTGACAGTCAAGGGCACAGGGAACAAGAAACTGAACCCGGTTTGCAGCAAGTTTTGTGTGCTTCCTTACCCCTAGTACACCTTATCTTTCTGTACGGAAGGGGAGGGGGTGCCCGTCCCGTGGCCCTCCTCTTCCCAACCCAGCTGAGCCTCTGCCCTCCCCCCTCCTCCAGCAGCAGATGGTGCCCGGGCTCCCGCTGCCAACCTTGCTAGGCGGTGCCAACCTTAGTCCTGGCAGACAACCCATAGACTAGAAGAGGAGCTTCTGGCTGGCCAGGCCGACCCTCCCCCCACCCGCTCTCAAACCCAAGACCCTCTGCCTGCCCGACTCCAGCGACCACCCCAAGCTGCTTCTCAATTGTCGGCTCCTAGGTCCCCAAACTCCTCGTCTCCTTCTGCTCCCTTCTGCACACCTTCCCGCTCCGAGCCACCTGCCGCCCTGACCAGGGTCGGCACATTTGCATATTTGCATATGCAAATAATAACATTTGCATACGGCGCGCCCGCAGGGGGGGGGGTCTCCGCTAGAACCCGTTAGCTGTCTGCCAGGCGTCCTCTCACTCCGTACCTGTCGGAAAAGGGCTGGGGCAGGGACCGCGCGGGGGGGGGGGGGCCCCCCCCCCCCCCGGCCTCGCTAGCTCCGTTCCCGGAGGACTAGAGGAAGTGTTGCCATGGAGACGGCACGCACCCCACCTCCTCCCAGGCCCAGGGTCTCAGGCTTGGTGTCTCTGGTTCTTTCCCCTTAGCCACCCCCCACGCCCCTCCCCATCCCTCTCTCCAACTGAGATCTTTCATCGCCCCCTGGCGGCCAAGCTGGGCTCTGAGCCAGGTTCTGAAATGCAAGGGCTAAATGGCCAAGACCTAGCGGAGATATCTAGCCGCACCAGGCGATTCTCCCAGGCACAGGGGCCCTGGGGTGGCTTTCCAGACCGGCTCTTTTCTTCCAGCAGAAGCTTAGACTAGCGAGTTCAAGTCTTCCGACTCCCACCGGTCATGGGTTTCTATAACCCGACAATATGAAGTGGGGCAGCCGGGGAACATTCTTCCTCCCTCCACACGCCTTCTCTTCATCAGCAGTTAAAAAGACACGCCTTTAATTCCAGCACTGGGGAGGCAGAGGCAGGCAGATCTCTGTGAGTTCGAGGTCAGCCTGGTCTACAAGAGCTAGTTCCCAGGAAAGGCTCCAAAGCTACCGAGTAAATCCTATCTCGAAAAACCAAAAGAAAAAAAAAAAGAGAAAAGAAAAAGAAAGAAAAAGAAAAAAGACAAACTTCTCTAACTTCTGTCAAAACTTTAATAAATTCACAACATTGACAGTTCAACCCCTTGGCGCCTCTTTATGGATATGCACCCCGCCCCCCAGCTCTTGAAGGTGGGTCTTATTGGTGCCGGCTATCCAGTGCACCGGGTATCCGAAACCCTGGGCAGGGGGAGAAGTGGGAGACAGACCCTTCCCAGAAACATCGTCATGCTCGGTGGGCCTTTCCACCCCTCCTCATTCAGTAGTCCAGTTGCCTCTCCCCTCCCAGCCCGCACTGGGCCCCGCCCAGAGCCAGGCCTAGGTGTCTCCCGCCAGCAGGCACCAGTTCACCTAAATCTCCTCCAGAAAGTCGGCGGGGAACAGCCCCACCTTGCGGCCGGTGTAGACCTTGACGTAGCCGCCAACTTCATCTCCTTTCTGCACTACGATCTAGGGAGTGAGAGGGTTGGGAAGCAGGAGCTGAATTAAGGACGGAGGACGAGAGCAGGGAAGCCGGGGAGGAGCGTTTACACGAAAGGGTTAGCACCTCCCAGGTGTGTGGACAGCGGCGGTGCGATCAGGCCTGGGATTAGGTTAGGGTACCCGAGCTACCTGGTCTTTCTTCAGAGTGATCTGCCCAATCTCGCGGTTCCCCACAAAGGATCTGGTTACGCGGTGCACGCGTTCTCCAGCCCGGACCCGAATGATGAAGTTTGGCGGGAAGAATCCGACCTTCTCTCCGATTTTCCCCTAGAGAAGGGAGTCGGTAGGCTAAGGATCTCAGGTTCTGGAGCCTACCCTTAGCCCACCTCAGCTCTAGCCGTTCGTCTTACCCGCCACCACTCCTCGTTAGAGTCGTCAATAACTGTGATCTTCTCCCCTGGCCTGGGACAGGAAGGAGAGTTCTCTGTGATTGACATTACACACCAGTTCCTGGCTGTGCTGCAGGCGCAGCTCCAAAACAGAGGCCCAAGGCACCCGCCCTTCGCCATTCCCAGAGCGACCTCTTCCTCCTCCGTGCTCCCCACACTCCCGCCTCCCTTGAATGCTTCTCACGGGAAATCCAGATCATCTTTCTCCAAGGCTTTGAACCGATAGAGAGCCACAAAGTAATGAGACTGCTGGAAGCCGGGCTGCTTGTGCTGGGGGGCGGAAGACGGGCCATGAGCTTGACACCTCCTTCAGTTTATTGGTCTTTGGGTGTCTGTCTCAGCGTGGAGAGTGGGTGGAGAGTGGCGGGAACATCTGGGAGTGATGTCTGGGAGGAGGACCCGGATTCTACAGGTAGAGGGGACTCACTTTGTCATCCGGTGTTTTCTTCTCAGCCTTCTTGTCCCTTTCTGCATTGTTTCCTTGGGTGGGAAATAGGGGCAAATGGCTTCTGCCTCCGCGAGGGCATCCATCACCCCCTCCCTGTCTGCTGGAGGACTTGTCCACCCTGGACCCAGTCTTTCCCTCTCCACCTGCTATACAACACACAAACCCCTGCCTACACTGACTCCATGCCGTCTCTGGGGGTGGAGAGGGCTGGTACTCACCATCCTGGGACTTGCCTTCCTCTGGCCTGGCTGACTCTGGCTCCTCCTCCATCATGGCTGCTAGAGGCTGTAGGGGACACCAGCGTTACAGAGGTACTGTCTTGGGAACCTCTCTAGGCAGGCCAGAGAGTTACAGAACAACAGTATCTAAGCGCTGGGAGAATACTTGGAGAAAACAGTAGTCTAAGAACCTGCCCAATGCAGGAATTCCTTCTGAAGCATGCTAGCAGGTATGTCCCCTGCACTGTGCCTGAACACAGCTAATGCCAGGCAGTTCACCCCCTTACAGCACAACCCTGTTGATTTTCTTTTTCAACCCCATAGAGAACAGAACCTAAGAATATGGATTTTTTTTCTGAAACAGCCTCGTAACTCATAGTTCAATTGACTGAAATTTGTTATCTGTACTCAAGTTTTATATCAACCACTTTGAAATCAGATCTCTAGTTTTGTTTCCTATAAGGTTTATTTATTTATTACCACAAGAAAAGTAAATTTTCTTTCTTATGAACTTTCAAATTATTATTATTATTAATATTTTTTAAGACAGAGTTTTTTAAGACAGCCCTGGATGTCCTGGAACTCACTTTTTAGACCAGGCTAGCCTCAGACTCACAGAGGCCTCTGCCTTCCTTCGAGTGCTGGGATTTAAGGTATGTACCACCACCACCCGGCTGGACTTTCACATTGTGAAAGCGAGACAAGGCTGTGCATGCCTCCCTCCAGTTCCAGCACCAGGATGCTAAAGTAGGAGGATTGTGACTTCAAGAACAGGCTGGGCTATTATGCAAGTTACAGGAAGCCTGTGCTATGCACATAGCAAGACCCTTAAAGCAGAATGGGACAGAACATGTGTTAGAGATAGTTTCCTTGGTGGACTGCTTGCCTAGCAGGCAGAAAGCCCTGGTTGTGCTCCTACCATCACACAGAGTAGGTTTGATGGTCTGTATCTGTAATACCAGTACCTGGGAAGTGAAGGCAGGAGGATCAATGTTCGAGATCATTCTTAGCTACAAGGAGACTCTAATGCTGGTCTAGGCTCCCTGAGACGGGGTCTGGGTAAATACAGGGAGGTAAAGAGCACTCGATGCTCTCTCTCTAAGATTTTATTTATTGTTTTTTTTATGTGTATGAGTGCTCTGGCTGCATATATGTCTGTGTGCCATGTGCGTGTCTGGTACCCACAGAGACCCCAGAACTGGGATTGCTTTAACTAACACCATCTATGTTAGTTCATAAGCTTGTCCAGACAGAAACTTACCACCTGCCCAGGCAAGCACATTTCTGGCAATTACCAACTCTGTTGTGAAAAACAAGGAGGGGCTGGAGAGATGGCTCAGAGGTTAAGAGCATTGCCTGCTCTTCCAAAGGTCCTAAGTTCAATTCCCAGCAACCACATGGTGGCTCACAACCATCTGATGCCCTCTTCTGGCCTGCAGGCATACACACAGACAGAATATAGTATACATAATAAATAAATAAATAAATATTTAAAAAAAAAGCAAGACAAGGAGGCTGCCCTTGCCCAGTGTAACTTTCATGCCTGCTCATCCACAAGATGAACAGGTCACAGCAGATGATCTTCACAGACACCTGCTGGCTCTAGAATTCCTTAGCTACTTGGGATGACAAATTCTCTTTTTCAGATGCAAAATGCACAGAGCTTGCCTCTGTTACCTGCAGTGCCAGGCCAGAGCAGTGCCAGGCCAGGGACTTAGCCTTCTGTGGTACTTAGTTGTCAGTTTTAGAAGGGAATTGGGGAAGCATGCTCTATGTCTGGAGGAGTTTGCTTTTCAATGTTGGGTATTGAACCAGGGTGCCTACTACTAGGGCATACATACTAGGCAAGCGCTCTACCACAGAACTATATTCTCAGCCCTGTGGCATGATTTTTTTTTCCTGGTGAGGTATATAAAGCACCAAAAAAAAAAAAATCTACAATTTCACACAGGAATGTTTCTGTTTGGTTATGCTGCACCAGTTGGGGCAGAGGACCCATAACTTCTATCAGTTTTCCCAAGGGGGAAAGGATCTGTCCTGTGGAGCTTCCACAATGGGCTTCTGTGAGGACATGGGGTGCTCACATTTTTCTTATCTGCCTGTCCCTTCTTCCGTTCCTTGTTTGCCATGATCACCCCGATGCGCAGGGTTTCAAACACGGGGTCATTGCGATTGGCAGCAGCTGGTGGAGTGGGAGGAGAAAGAACGCATTATTGGAAAGGCAGAGGAGGGCTGGGGAGAGATCTCTCAAAGGGGCATCTGGGGGTAGGTGGATACTCACGGGGACTTGTTGGGGGTTGGAGACGGAGAGAACAGGGAACAGGGAAGGGCCAGCTGCGTAATGCCTGGGTCACCAATCTATAAAGGGTTCTAAAACACTCTGGGAACGCCTTGTGATGGGCCTCCTTCCAGGAGAGTATTATTACACTGCTGGCTTTTGTTCAGGCCGGGGTGTGGCCACCAGCACATTCTCTTTGAACCCGTACTCTTTATGGAGTTTAGTTTCTCCACCAAATACATCTCAGCAGTTTTTTCAGCGAATACATGTTTTCTTTTTCAAGAGGGTCTCACTATGTAGCCCTGGCTACATATGGAATATCCTTTTTTTTTTTTTTTTTTTTTTTTTTTGAGACAGGGTTTCTCTGTAGCTTTGGAGCCTGTCCTGGAACTAGCTCTTGTAGACCAGGCTGGCCTCGAACTCACAGAGATCTACCTGCCTCTGCCTCCCAAGTGCTGGGATTAAAGGCATGCACCACCACCACCTGGCAGATATACTTTTAAGGGTTGCCAAACTAGGAACTTGTCCGGGGGTATCCATAGCTCATGGCTGGCCCCGAGTATGGTATCGCTCTGTAGCAGGGTGCAAACAGGCTAGCATCCTTGTTCTTGCTTAGGAACAGTTCGAAGGGAACAGACTATGGTTTCTTCTCTCTACCCCTGGCCATTTGCAGTCCTTGCTCACTCAGCTATGCATCAAGACCAGTCGGTGCATCCAAAAATGGCTGTAAAAATACTAGACTGGGCTGGGCAGTGGTGGCACACGCCTTTAATCCCAGCACTCGGGAGGCAGAGGCAGGTGGATCTCTGAGTTCGAGGTCAGCCTGGTCTACAAGAGCTAGTTCCAGGACAGGCTCCAAAGCTACCCAGAGAAACCGTGTCTCGAAAAACTAAAATCAAACCAAACCAAAACCAAAATCAAACCCAGACTGAGGGAGAACTATGGAAACAGAATGATTCTATTTCAGAATTTACTTTCCGAGGAGGTGTGAAACAGTCTGAGACTTGCCCGCTCCCTCAGGTTGTATATGCGCACTTACAGAGATCTTTGACACAAGCGTACTGTTGGTCGCTGTAGAGTGGGGAGCTATAGGCACGATGGAAACCAGGAGGCTGCAGGATGGGATGGGAAAGCATTAGGAGTAGCAGGGTAGGGTCCAGAATCCCCTCAGAGCTGGGCAGAGAAGGGGAAGCAGGGAAATGTGGGGGATGGCTTTAGGGGTCACCAAGTAGTTGATGGCCTGTGCCTCTTCTACGTTTCTTGCTCCCCAGGGCCTTGTTACTCACGATCTTGCCGAAGCATCTCTGCATCTCCACGTAGGACTGGCAATGTTCATGGATGTTGGTTTTGCAGTTCTTACAGCGGAGCCCAAATTTGTTATTGACTTGGGGGGGGGGAGAACATTTGAGTAAGGTTCTGGATTCCCCTTTTTCTTTGGAGCCCTGTGGCTACTCAGCTACTTCACCGTTGCTCAGTCTGCCCTCTTCTGACATCCTACACTATCCATCTCACTATTTTCCTGGCCTGAATCCTGCCACAGTGTGTCCGTTATACACAGCTTCCGTAAGTCCTCTCCCACCCCTAATCCTTCCTTCCTACTGTCTCTATTTCCCTTCAAGACTCACGCACAATCATCCGGGCACAGACATCACAGAACTTGGGTTTCTTGAAGAAGTGATCTTTGAATTTGTGGGGCTTGTCATTGACAAGCTTAGGAGGTTCTGGGGGTGGTTCCTCCTCCTCCTCCTCTTCCTCTTCTTCCTCATAGATATAGTAGATGGGCCCGCCCCCAGCTCCCACTGCCTCTCCATTGGCCTGGGGCTCTGGGGGAGGCTCCATCTCAGTTGTCTCTGGAGAGCCCTTCTTGAATATCTGCTTCAGTCGTTGTAGCTGAGGGAGGGGGTGAAGGAAACTCAATGTTAAATGACGGTCACTTTCTCAGCAGTGTCCCTGGATTAGTGGATTGGGGCTGCAGATGTTGGCTAGCCCAACAAAGGAGCCATATGCAAGCGGGTTCTATCTACGCAAGCAGTTTTCTTTACCTGCCAAGGCTTCCCGGCCCTCCAACACCCCTGCCCCCAGGGATCAGCAGTCCAGACTCACCCCACTTTGTGGAGTTTCTGCTGGGAAGGGGGGCTTAGGGGACTCCAGTACCTCCTTTTCTGTCATCCTGCAAGAGGTTGGAGCCCACTATGAGATCTAACCCAACTGCCTGTTCTATTCCTGTATTCCTGCTGTGCAACAGTGGGGCAGACCCAAGGGGAGCTTTTGGTAGAACTTGTGAACAGATCCTATGGAGGTCCTGAAAAAAATGTCCAGAGGCGGAAGACTTCCCACGTAGTTCCAGGTCCTTAGACTGACACCTACCTTCCCATGGCAAGGAGCAGCCCCAGTCCACAAATCCAATACGCCGCTCAAGGCTGTTGGCTTCGGCGCTCCCCTACAGCAGTGGTTCTCAATCTTCCCAGTGCTGTGACACTTTAATACCCCAACCATAGAATCATTTCACTGCACTTCATAACTGTAATCTTGCTAGTTATAAATCGTAATGCCTGAGATGCAGGAGATCGGGCATGCGACCGCTTATATGTTGAGAACCAATGTCCTACACACACTTGTGGTTGATGCAATACACAGCTTCTCCTGGCTTCAGGAGGTTTGAGCTGCATCCTTGCTCCTATACGTCCGAAGGCGTGTCCGGAGATACGCTCTCCCTACCTCTAGGAGCCTTGGGGGCCTGGTGCCTAGTTCTGTCCTGGCTGCCTCGGGTCTCTGCTATTTTGGTTTTCAGAGTAATATGAGCCTTTCCTTCCCTTACTGCTCCATCCTCTGGACCCCACCACACCCTACCCCTCCTCCAATCTTGACTCATCTTGAAGTAGAACAATTACACTTTGAAAATTCAAACTACTCACAGATTACAAGAGCAAGGGGGAAGCCGAACAGACTCGGAACAAAAAGATGAAGAGACGACTTACTTTAGACTCCCTAAGTCAGGTCAGTGTGGAAAGAGGGTCCCTAAGATCTTGATGGTGGTGCTGGGGGAGAGCTAGTCCTCTTCCGCCAGGGCTAAGCCCCCAGCACCTTCTGGACTCACAGCCAATACTGGTAGGCCTCCTAGCCTCTCGCCGTGGTGGCCGAGCTGAAATGACAGGGCTGGAGGACAGTGGACAGCTGAGAGCACAGCTGACAGGCAGAAATTGGAACCAGGAGGTCTGGGCAGGGCTGGACCCTGCCTCCTCCCATCCCCCATCCGCCAGAGCTGCTCCTCTGAGTGTTTACACTGAGCAGGTCGGCACTGGCTAATGGGGAAGGCCTACCCAACACTGCAGCACCTTACCCCCTCCAAGTTCCAGAGAACCCAGGGTTCTGCCTCGCTAACCATGTGCTGTAACTGCAGCAGGAAAGGGACGTCTGCTCTCCACACGCGCTCATGTGAGTTCCGTGTCTGACGGTGACTTCTCCATACCCTTTCCCCTAATGTTCCAAGAACCTTTCAATTCTAAGCCCATTTCTGTTACTTGCTTACGTTTTGCTTCCTTTTTTTGTTTGTGAGACAGGGTTTCTCTGTGTCGCTTTGGAGCCTGTCCTGGAACTTGCTTTGTAGAGCAGGCTGGCCTCAAATTCAGAGAGATCCGCCTGCCCCTGCCTCCCGGGTGCTGGGAGCTGAGAAGAGGGTGTGAATCAGAACTCAGTCAACCACGCGAGTCAGTCAACCACATGAGACTGCATCATACTCCACAGCCGAGCAGAGTATGGTGAACTACTGTGCTTCTTTCTCAAGTGCACAGGGCATCTCTTTCCCCTAAAATTCTGTCCTCAAGGAGAGGAGACTGTAAGAGTTACTAAAAAAGATGGCAAAACCCAAAAGCCATGGACCTGGAGAGATGACACAGCTTCTGGCCCAGAGGACCTGGGTTGTTCTGGGCACCCACACATCAGCTGTCTTTAACTCTAGTTCTGAAGGCTCCACACCTTCTTCTGGCCTCTGTAGGGATCAAGCACACACAGAGTGCACACATATACACATGTGGGCAAACCACTTATATCATAAAAATAGTCAAAGGAGCAGATGACAGCTGACCCTGGGCATGTGGCCGCTGTCTGTGGTCTTCTCTTTCTGAATGCATGCAGGAGCGCAGGGGTGTGGTCTGAGAACTCTTCAGTCAGTTCTTTCCTGCCACATCGTGGGATGCAGGAACTGAAGCAGATGAGGCTTGCATACAGCACCTCTTCTGCTATTAGCCAACCTCACCAACCCAGTTGCCTTCTATAGTGAGGGTTAATTCAAGCATACATTTACACACAGAGAGAAAAGAGTGCTGGATGGCTCTGAGAGCTCCAACGTCCCTGCTGTTTGGATGTTTGTGTGTCTATATATATATATATATATATATATATATGTATATGTATATGTATATGTATATGTATATATGTATATGTATATGTATATATATTGGTTTTCTGAGACAGGGTTTCTCTGTAGCTTTGGAACCTGTCCTGGAACTAGCTCTGTCCGGCTAACATTGACTTATATATTTAAACTATGTGTTGTGTATCGCCTGACCTGAGCGGTGATCAAAGGATAACTTCCCAGAGTTAGTTCACCCCTCGTCTTGGGAGCAAGCTTAGGCTGCTAGGCTTGGGAGCAAGCATTTACCCACTTTTTTTAAAAAAAAATATTTATTTATTATGTATAAAATAGTCTGTCTGTGTGTATGTCTGCAGGCTGGAAGAGGGTTGGTTGTGAGCCACCATGTGGTTGCCGGGAACTGAACTCAGGAACTTTGGTAGAGCAGGCAATGCTCTTAACCACTGAGCCATCTCTCCAGCCCCATTTACCCACTTTGAAGGCCATAAAGTGAGTTTTTATCATCTGTAAATAATGTTCCCTCCCCCATGAGAACTGTATGCTCTAAAGTTAAAATAGCCAAGCCTTATAGTTTTAATTTTTTTTAAGACAGGGTTTCTCTGTGTAGCCCTGGATGCCCTGATACTCACTTTGTAGGCCAGGCTGGCCTTGAACTCACAGAGATCCACCTGACTGCCTCCCAAGTGCTGGGATTAAAGGCACACACCATCACCACCTGGCAATTTTAACCATTTTAATTGCAATTCCACCTCTCAACTCTCAATAGTCCCATAGGGGCTGACAGGTCAGGGGCAGGTTACATTCTCAGGCACAGCTTTCTCTAGTCTGGTGTGTGAGCTATGACATGGCCGCAAGATCCTGGAGGACAGCCAAGTCAAGGTTGCAATGGAGTGTGGATTTTATTTGTTTTTAAGAAAGTCCCATTATGTAGCCCTGGTTGTTCTGGAACCTGCTATGTTCAAGCTGGTCTTAAACTCAGAGTTTTGCCTGTCTGCTTCCTGAGCACTGTGATTACAGGATGGTATGTGTCACCATGCTCAAAACCGGAGTCCTGCCTCAAAATACACACACACACACACACACACACACACACACACACACACACACACGTCAGCTCTCTAACGTCCCTGCTGTTGGGCTGTAGCACTGAGATGGCTTGAAGACTCTCCAGTCAACTCCACCTGCAAGTGGTGGTTTCTGTTTTCAGTTCTGTCAGCTGCAAGGAAGGTAAGTGTGCTACCTTGATACAGCTTGGCACTGCAAGGTCAGTTGGTTTTATTGTAAGCAACATCCACATGTGTTTCTGCCAAGAACCCAATGCTCTGCTTTTAGGATTAAAGGTGCAATTTCCCCATCCCTGAAGGGTGTGTCAGCAGACCAGGTGAACAGAAACGAGGCCAGCGTCTCGACCTGACTTGCCCGGCTCCACAGCAAGGCTATAATGGGCAAGAGGCCCCTCGGATATGGACACAATGGCCCACAGTTGAGGAGGAGTGAGCTTGATGAAGGCAGCCTGCAATCTCTCTGAGAACTGTGTGCAGGAAAGACGAGGGGCAGGAAGGAAGAGGTTGGGAAAATCTCTGTGCACACACCAGGGAAATCATCCTAAACTACAAAAAACCCTTCCAGCAGTTGTGGAACTGGACCTGCTCAGAGCCTCTAACCCAACCCATATCAATTGTCAATAGAGAAACAGTGATTGATGCCCAGTGACAGGTTTTTGCTTTTTTTATATTTATAAACAAAACCAACCTCCCTCCCCAGCAACTCCCCGAACAAACAAAAACCAGATTAAATAAAATGTGCAGTGGACACCCCCAGCAACACCTGTGTGTGCAATTGAATACTGCATCTGTTACGGAGGCACAAACCTCAGACAAACAATGTACAGTGTTCTGGGGGTGGGGTCCCAAGTTTTAACTCTGTGGGTTTTGGGGAGACAAGATGGGGGAAGTGAGAGAATGGGGAAATCAATGTACTTTTCTTAATTCTGTCCATATAAACATATTCATGAAGACCAGAGAGGAAAGGAGCCTGGGGCGGTGAGGAAGCGGAGAGGAGAGTGTGGGACACAACATATGGAAGAAATCAATTCCATGGTGGGAGAAGAGATAAAAAAAAAACTGGTAGCAGAGGATGGGAAGAAGAGAAAAACAGAAGGAACCAACAGGGAAAAGGGGGACCCATGGCAAGAAGTGGAAAGGAGTCCCATGCCGGTGTGAGAATGTCTGCTTCTCTCTTCAGCTGTAAGGTGGCAGGCTCTGGCCCAGTCGGTCTGCCTGGGCTCCCTCTGCTTGGCCCCACTCCTACCCTGCCAGTCCCTCCTGTCTTCCATTTATTGGGAGCTAGCTCGCTCCAGGATCCTCAGGTCGTAGTTCTTTTTGGCCACTCGAAGTTTGAAGCGACTCACAGAGTTGTTGAGGCGAAGGGAGGCATTCTGGGCAGCCAGCGGGCTGGGAAATACAGCCACTATGGTGTACAAGGCAGCAAGGTCCGCGTGGCGGCCATTCTCTGCAGTCCCACTGTTGTCCCCTCCTCCCGCACCAGGCAGCCCCTGAGTATCCTTAAGCCACTGGATCTTGGCGCCAGACATGGCAAGCTGGGTGAAAAGTTTGTCTGCCTCCGTCCGGGTGATTCCTTCAGGGAGGTCTGTCACCTCCAGCACTCTTCCCAGCACTGAAAGGGGAGGAGAGATGAAGGTTGTGAGACATGGAGCAAGGACTACACAGTGGCCTGGCAGAGCCACTAACCAAGCCTGTGTACAAAAAGCCCTCAAACTTCTACTTTCTCCATTTAGCCTCCCCAAATCAACCCAACTTAACCCCATAGAGACTCTGGGTGGGGGTCGGGGCAGCCACAAAGAAAAAAAAAACCTTCCTCTCTCTAACCCAGAGATATTCAGAGGGACTGAGAATTAGAACTTTGGGTTTCTGATCTGGGCCCCTACAACTCCACTGGCTCCCAGGGTGTCAGTGCTGTGAAACGCAGTTCTGTTGGTGAGACACTTGGTGGGTCAACGTGGAGTAAGATCCACAGTTCCCTCCCTTCCATAGGCTGGTCTCAACAGAGACTTCCCGTCCCTTTCTCTCCTCCTTTAGGCAACAGCTGCAGAATGTGGACTCTTTTGCAAAGACTTTGTATGCCTGGCATGGAAGGCCTGCGGTCTAGGGTGAGCAAAGGGAGGTGTCCTAGATCAGGACACAGCTGCTCCATCACTGCTCTGACAGTGTCTAGGATGCTCAGCCTCAGGACACACACACTTCACACAGTTTTTGGGCAAAGATGACTCTATTCCCTCGTATTTCCCCTCACTCCACGCCAGCTTTCTCACTATACTGGGGTGGCAATGAGACCAGCTACTCACCAACATCTGCTGTGCCCAGGTCAGTGGAGGCAGACTTGAGCGCTTGCCTCTTGCCGCGGTTTCCGTGCTTCAGTCCACTCTGTCCCTTCAACATCCAACACAATTCTCATCGCTTTGGGTCCCAGTGTCTGCCCCTGAGGACCCTACCTCCCCAGGGAGTGGCAACTGAGACATAAAGCCTCTCCCTCTTGGCCCTGAGGTGGGAGCCATGAGCACAGGAGTCAGGGAAAACTCCTTTTGCTTTGTCCATTCTGTGTTTTCTCCTGTGTCCACCCAACTGGTTGAAGCCAATGGCTCACAGATGGGGGCCCAGATGAGAAGGGGAGTCTGAAGCCCCCAAGATGATGGATATGCTCACCTGGTGCACCGTGTAAGTTGACTGGCCATGGAGCAAGGGAGGGCAGATGGAGAGATTGTATTGTAATGGCTGACCCAATAGGGAATAGCGCCCATCACCTAGGAGTAAGAACAGGTGCTTTAGGAGTTTGAGTGTCACGGTATGTCTATTATGAGACTTCAAGGGGCTTTGGTGAAAAATAGCAACAATACCTATTGTTTCTACCTACCTTAGCTACGATGGGAGTACCTGTAACTAATTTAAGAGTTGTACTCCTATGTGGTAGCACACACCTTTAATCCCAGCACTTGGCATAGGCAGGCAGATCTGTTTGGTCTACATGGAGAGTTCCAGGACAGCATAGCTACATAGTAAGACCCTGTCTCAGAAAAACAAAACAAAACAAAAAAGAGCTGTGTCTCTTCCTAAACTCTTAGTAGGGCTTTAGATCACTTCACCAGGAGTTCTGTCCATCAGAGACCCTAGGGAAATGGTCAAGGGAGTCAGGTGTAATGGTACATGCCTGCTATTCTAGCACTTGGGAGACTGAGGCCAGTCCGGCACAGGGAGAGTCTCCAGGCGCTCAAGCTTCTGCCCACAGGAGAGGCAGTGCAGGTGGCGGTGGAAAAGAGAACACACTCAGAACTGATGCCAGCCCAACACACGGACTCTAACGGGAAATGGCGGTGCTGGGGGTTCCTCTCTTCGGTGCTGTTGAACAGCTAAATGAACACAGTGTGTAGAGCATTTGCACAAGGCCTGGGACAAACTGAGTGTCGTGAAGCTTACTACTCACAGAATGATTCATTTAGGAATATTTCAAAGTTTTAAACATCTTATTTTTATATTACTTCTGACAGACAAAGAAAAAAGCAACAAGACTATTTCCATCTTATGCATGTTTATCCCCATTTTATGGATGAGAAAATTAAGGTCTAAGTTTTAGTAACTTGTTCAACATCACAAAGCTAGTTTGTCCTGGAACTGGAACCCAGAGCTTTAACTGAAAATCAGTGTTGCCTCTAAAGAATCACACTCGTCTTGGAGCTGGAGAGATGGTTCACCAGTTAAGAACACTTACTGCTCCTGCGGAGCACATGGGTGGGTTCCCAGCACCCACATCAGTATCTCACAACTCTCCGTAACTCCAGTTCAAGATACACATAAACTCACATAGGCACACACATAAATAATACTTTTTTTGTTCATTTGTGTTTTGTTTTTCAAGACAGGGTTTCTCTGCAGCTTTGGAGCCTGACCTGGAACTAGCTCTTTATAGTCCAGGCTGGCCTCAAACTCACAGAGATCCGCCTGCCTTTGCCTCCTGAGTACTGGGATTAAAGGCATGTGCCACCATTGCCCGACTAAAAAATAAAAATTTTTAAATATTTTCTTTTCTTTCTTTCCTGAGACAGGGTTCCTCTCTGTAACAGCTCTAGCTGTTCTGGAACTTGCTTTGTAGATCGGGCTGGCCTCAAATTTGGCGATCCTCCTGCCTCTGCCTCCTGAGGCACACCCACCTAGAAACTCTGAAGCAGACAGCCCCACACTGTTCTGATGCAGCTCACATCCCCAGCTCTCTGGTCTAGCACTGATGCTGGGCTGCATTCTTTTCCAGTGGAAAGGGAACTTCTTTCCTTTCTTTCCTCCACTTGGGAGCAAACAGCCAGTGTGTGCAGGAGGCTGGAACAATGCCCATGAGAGCTACAGGAGGGTGGGTGGGTGTCCTCTGCTGTGGTGGCAGCTCTGCTGCCCACCCGCTGCTACCCTGGGATAGACGGTGAGTGCTGAGGTCCACAGCAGCCCACCTCCACCTAACTCCCTACCCTGTGCAGGACCCCCAGGCCGGGGGAATGGTGTGAGGACAGGCAGGGGACCAAGTCCAGTGCAGACGTTGCTGAGGCTGGTGACAGGAGAGGGTGCTGGAGACTGGGTAGGAGATGTGACGGGGCTGTTGCCCAATTGTGCGTTGGCCTGTGAAAGAAAGAGCACATGTCACTCCCTCCCTCTCTCTTCCACACACACACTCACCTTGGTGTTTCTCAGGGCCTCAAATTCACTACTCTCAAGAAACAAGGAGTCTTGTACCAACTGCCCAAAGCCAGATTGCTGTCCAAAGCACCCTCCTGTTCCCTAGTTTGTGTTGCTATAACTATCCTTATTTCTAGCATGAGAGATCACACCGAGGGCTTCGGCTGTGCTGGGCAAGCACCAAAGCACTCACCTGCCTGACAGCCCAAGTTTGTATTCTTAGTATCCACTTTCCATAAACCACTCCCTGTTTTGTCTGTGTAGGAGGCACAGTTTAAAGAAAGTATCGAGAAACTGACGTCTGATTACTGGAAGGCTGGAGTGGGTTTTGTATGACCCCCTGGTGATCTTGTGCTATTCTACAGAGCCAGCCTTCCTGGATCCCCAATATCCTGAGCACTGTTTAGGCCCTTACCCCGGACCTTGTCTCTCAGTGACTCTAACCATCCCATCAGCAGAACCTGTCCTTATGCTCATTACAGACTCTTTCTCCTCAGGTCCTTGCCCTGAGCACTGTTCATCAGCCAACAGAACTCGCTCTTATTTAGTGTAAAGGTCACAGGTGCTTGCTACCCAGCCTGGGAGTTTCCACGCGGCTGTATCTAAATCTCTGTTGTGGTAACTGCCATGCAGAAACCACTTCCCTAAGTTTTACTGTGTTTAATTTTGTAAGAAAAATAAACCCTGAGGTCAAACTCTGGATGTTCTGACCCAGCACTTGAAAAAGTGGTTTTGACTTGAGTTTCATTCTTCACCTTGCTCAGATCGTTTCCTGCAGGCTGTGAAGCTTGTGGGGTCCCTGATATATATGTACATGTTTGTGTATGTACATGTATATATGCATATCTGTGAAGGCTAGAGGTCAATTTGGGGTATTATTCTTTTTGTTTTGCTTTTTGGGGGGGGCAAAGTTTCTCTGTGTAGCTCTGGCTGGCCTCAAACACACAGAGATCCGCTTGTCTCTACCTCCTGAGTACTGGTGTTAAAGGTGTGCGCCACTACCGCCCAGCTTGGGTACTGTCCTGTAGATGCCATCTACTCCAGCCCAGAACCACATATGCACAAGGCTTGTGATCAACGACTGAGCAACACTCATCCCAGGATTCTCCATTTTAAATATGCTCTAAGCATGGTCTGATGTCCTGGAAAGAGGATACACTTTGATATTCTCATGTTTCTCCATCTAAAGATTCAGAGAAACTATAAATGAGGTATTCAATGACATAAGGTTTCTTCCTAAGACAAGGGTGAAGGACTTACCTGGGGATTACCTTCAGGACTATACAGGTCCCCAGGCTTCTGACCTCGCTGGTCCACATTGTAATATTTGCAGTGACTCCACTGGACCATAGATGGATTCTGGGGGGTCTGAGGTCCATTAGGGACATTCAGTTGCATGACCACCACACCTGGTCCAGAAGGTGACACTCCTGAGTGGCACAAAGAAAGCAGTTGTTGGGAATTCAAACTATCCTGGGAGCACAGTTAACTCTGAGTGGAAAGCCAGCAGCAAACCCACCCACTTGCTTCAGGGCCACTCCAACTGTGTCTTGTCAGGCATCTGAGACGGCTTCTGATCTGGCCTCAGAGTCTCTCTCACCAACCAGTGGAAGTTTGAGTGGAAGAGAGATGAGACCAGATGCCAATATTCTCCTGCCCTTCACCTGGTGGGGTAGTTTGTTATGACTGGCAGAAAAACCACTCCACTGGTCAAAACTGAGTATTCCCAAATACCCAGGTTAGACTGCTGAAATGTCTGCACACAGCACGAGCTCTAGTCTGGGGTGTGGGCCGGGGCTGCCGATATAAGCAAGTTTTTCTGGAAAGGACTGAGGATAAGCCCGCAAAGTTGAATTGCTCTGGAGAAGATGAATGCTCACAGCTTCACTAAGTGGACCCACAAAGTACTCTGTGGTCACCTCCAGTAGAGGGCACAGTTTGTAGACATGAGGTGCTAAGATATAACCACATTGCAGGAAGAACACTAAGAGATAAGAAGCATCTTTAGCAAGCATTTATTGCGCCAGTCCTTCCTCCTTCCGCTGCACACTGAGTGTACAACAAACAAGCCTGGTCACTGTCCCCTTAGAAAGGACAGTTTATTAACAACTCGGACGTTAAGCAAAGAGTTGAGAGCAGAGTCTGAGGTGCATTCTGGAAGGATACTTGGACTCTATCCTGGAGACGCTGAGATAGGACTGGTACTTTGTAGAGCTCACCTTATACTTACACTGGATAACAGGGTGATAAAGGGAGGGGAATAGGGTAGGAAAACTGAGACAGGAGGGTAGCCAGAAGGATGATGGCAGGGCCAGAACCTTCTGAAGGCTATACTGGCAGATTCCAATATAGCACAGCTGGATATGACTGTGAGGTTCCGGTACTGTAGCTATAGATAGTTTTTTCTACTGACAAGGTGGAGGAGGGAAAGGTCCAATCTTCCTTGTGGAAAAAGAAGGTTGAGTCAGGGAGAAGCAGTTTGATGGACAGTCCCCACTGGGAGGAACAGGGAGGGCTCTGGTTCTACACAGGGGATTACACAGCGTGATAGTTTTCTTCTGACCTTTCAGGCCGTATTCTTGCTGGGGCTGAGCTGGCGTGGATAGTGGTGAAAAAATGGGATTACCGGGATTACCAGCTCAGAAGCTGCAATGCTGCGCTTTTCATGGTCTGGTACTTCGGGGCTGCCATTGCCTCTATGATGGGAAATGCTACAGTCTCTGGGTACTAGCCATGCTGGAAGGAGAGTGCTTGCTCAGGTAGTATTGGTCATAGTTCAGTAAAAGAAAAAAGGCAGGAGGTCTCAGAGAGCAATCTGATCCGTTTCTCTGGCCAATTTGTATATTCACCCCACTATCTAGGGTTTATTAAATCAGAGAGCACGAATAGTTAGTGCAATAGGCTGCTATCTTCCTATGCCCTGCTCCAAAGGGAGCAGCACATTCATCAGTGTGGCTGGCAGAGGGCCATGGGACATCACAGTGTGGTACCCTGTGCATCCCTAACAACTCTCCCTTACTACAGCTGCTGGGGCTCCCTGCTCCCCATCCTATCAGCTCTATTCACTGCACCACCCTCTACCAACAACACTGCAACTCACTTTATTCAAATTCCTCAATGCACCCAAGGGGCCACCACAAAAATAATCAAATCTACAGCTTTTCTAGAGCCAGCTCACAATCAGAGCCTAACGCCCTGGGCTAGGGAAGGTGGGCACAGGTGTATGCAGGGAGTGCATAGGCGGACAGAGGAAGCGTCTCCTAATACCAACACAGACATAAGGAGCTATTGGGAGCTCAAGGCGAGGAAGAAAAAGAAGTCCTTATATTATCTTCTCTGATGCCAGCAACAACAATAAAATACAGCCAGGAGTCTTAGCTGCAGCCTCTGCTCTCAACTCTCCATACTCAGTCCTCCCCCGCTGGCCTGGAGCACTGTTCCTTCACTCAACCGAGGACACAGCACTCAACTGATGAGCTGATTTTATGCTTCTCCTCCTCGAGCCAAAAGCAGGTGGCATCTGTTAACTGCTGAACCGTCCCTACTTCTTAATGGACATGGCAAAAAAAAAAAATTCCACTGCCCAGTGATAGCACTTCCCTATCACTGGGCTGGGGAAGGAGCCTGGGCTGAGAGCGGGTGGAAGAGGGAAAAGGGGGCTGAATAAGGAAATCAATTTCAGCTTGAGAGCTAAGAAAGGAGAGGGGACATGTGAATGGCTTTTTAAGTGGCATCATTAAACCTGGGCAGAAAGGTCGATTGGGCAGAGCAAACCACATAAATACAAGCAGATGACATTTATGTCTGGCAGAATTGGTTTTCGCTTTTTGTTTAGATTTTTTTTTTTTAGATCACCGAGAGAGAAAACTGAAAACTGAAAACTGATAGGGCTTCTTCCTTACCACCAGGGATCAAATCTATGAAAAAGAAATGAAGTCAAAATCATAGGACAGAAATCAGTATCTTGGCTCCTCACTCCACCTTCTTTTTGTCAAGGGAGAGGAAGATCTTTCTGAAGCGGAAGAGAATATTCTCAGCTTAGAAATGAGGCAGTAAAGGCTGAGAGGCTGTTCCCGTGTGCACTCCACACTGTCCGTGCTGCTGTGTCACCGTGAGGGAGCCTGTTGACAAGCCTCACCGCTCCCTCATATTTGTGTGCATCTTCCCAAACAGAACCAGGTAAACCTCAGGGGACCCGAAAGCCATCGTTTCAGTGGGAGACAAAGAGTTTCCTGGAGTTATGGTTTTATCTAGCATTATAGTGGCAGAATTAACGTTCAGGCCTAGAGGTGAACTGGTATTAATAAACCTCAACAGTTGTTCCAGGAACAGCCAATCCTAATCCCTGCCTTTATTTTTGGAAAAGTGACCATGTTGCTACATGAGAGGAGGGTGGGGTTACCGTCCTCTGAAGGTGAGAGAGTGCCTTTTGTGACCCTGCCTGCCAAGTTAACAGGAACTAGAAAAGAAAGAGGAAGAAACACTTGTTTCTTTTTAAAAATTTCCTTAACTTCCATGAGCAGGTATTAACAATTTTAAATATTAATTGTCGAGGGAACATCATCTCCTAGTTAACATGGGTAGGACAGAGGGTCTGGGTCCCACTGTCTGGGAAGGGTATAGGGCTGTCAGAAGCTTAGAACCAGTCTAGGGAAGAAAGGAGCTATAAGTGGGGAAATTCCAAAGCAGTAAGGAAAACAGATGATGGAGAGGGTTGGGAAGTTCTCCACCCTGGGCCTAGATCTCAGGTGCTGCTAGTCTCCAGAACAAAAGATGTTTTAGTTGGCTTGGCACTAGGTCAAGTGAGTAACACAAAATTATTTTCTGTTTCTTTGTTTTTGACCAAAGACCCTTTATATTTGAACAACAGATACCAGAAACCAAAGAGATATACTAACATACGACAAAAGATGTCAACAACAACACACACACAAGCATATCCTCTATGCACATGCACACATGAATCTTAACAAACAGGGAGAAAATTCCCTGCGGTACTGAGCACCAACACAGTACATGGTACACAGTAATTTTTGGAGAGTGGTTTCTACAATTTCCATATTCCACTGAGAATTTCAAGGCCAAGTGCCCTTGGCAGACAGTAAGAAGGGGCTGGAGCGTCCACTCATGTAATAAAAGAGTGGATGAATTTAAAGCCTTAGCTTTCAAGAGATCTGTGTTTGGTCTGGATGAAGCCAGAGGTTATTTCACCTTAATAGATCATGTCTTATGAGCTACAGTAATTCTGTAATTGCCCCAAAGCATCTAACAGTGAGAGTGCAAAAAATCTTAGGAGAAAGAAAGTCCTTCATTCCAATTGGAAAAACCAGCCAAATGGCTCCCTCTCACCAGAAGAGGGCGCGCAGATATCTCCAAGCAAAGTGGAATGGGGATGGCCCGAAGGTGAATTACAGTTCAGAAATTCTGTCTCAAAAACAAGAAGAAGAAAGAAAAGAATAAAGATTCCTTTCCCAAAGCCCTGAAGCTTCTTTAGCTGTAGCGCATCAGGTGTTGGGAGGACTGGAAGGGAAACAAGCGGGTGCAATCAGCCTGGGTATGCTGGAGGGCAGATGGAGGCCTACAGCTGTTTAGCATAAAGCCCATTTAGTTTCTGGATAGAAAGAAAGAGCACAAAGCCTCCTGAAAATCTGTTGTTGAAGATGCAGCTTATAGGGCACACAGTCAGAAGATCTAAGTTTTGGTCCTAGGACTATGATGACCTTTGGTAAGACATTCACTAGAGTCTTAGATTTCCTTATAGACTATGGTCAGAATAAAAACATCACAGTGGCCTGGCAGTGGTGGTACATGCCTTTAATCCCCAACACTGGTCTACAGAGTGATTTCCAGAACAGCCAGAGCTAAACCTGTCTTGAAAAACCAAACCAAACCAAACCAAAATCACAATGTATATGAGTACACACCAAAATCTGCAAAATAGATCTATGGTGGGTTTAAAAAACATTTTCAACTTTTTTTTCATATTCCCAAGAAAAAAAGAAAAGCTGTCAAAAGGACAAATGAGTGCAGGCCACAGAGGTAAGGAAAAAACGCGGACATGTGCGCACGTACACATGCAGGACCCAGAGATGTAGCTCAGACCCATCGTCCTTCTGTATCTACCTTCTGAGTGTTAGCACTAAGGCGTTGCACTCCACACTCACCAAGACTTAGGTCTTTGTGATGAGGTCACAGCTCACCTCTGAACCCTCCACTGCTTTACAATGTAAGCCGTCAGCAGGCCCAAGCTCTCCCCAGATTCTTTACCCCCTTACCTGAGTACTGCTGTGGCATCTGTGGTGGGCTGCAGGGAGAGGGCGACTGAGGCATCTGGTACTGTTCAGAGCCAGGAGGCTGCAGAAACCCCACAGAAGGGCTGGGAGGTGAGAAGAGAGGACTGGTAAGGACGGGGGAGAAACATGGTTCCTGGCAAACAGCTGCTACTCCCCAGGCCTCCCCTGTGGGAAGCAGAGGCAGCTACAAGCCATTCCCAGATCAATTTGCCATGCAATTTCTAAAATCACTCATCAGTTCAAACTTAATTATATATATTTGTACTTGATCATCTTTCAATTAGGAAGCTGCTAATCAGTGCTAAGTACGGAATGAGAACAGCACATGCTCTTCTCAACTGTGGGGAACACCAAACACACACGTGTGTACACACACAGAGCCAGGGTCAGACCCACAGTGCTAGGAAGAAACGGGTAAAAGAACTAAGGGTGCATACACAGTGGGAGACACTGGGTGTCACTTAAAGACAAACAGGAGAAAAAAAAGCTGCGAAATTCAAAACAACATGGAGATATATACATAAACAGATAGAGGTGAACACACATTAATTCTAGTTCAGCTGCACATCTGTCCAGCTGTGTGACTTCAAGTAGTTTGTTAGGATTCCTACTTGAATCTCCTTACCCATCCATACATCCATTCATTTATCTGTACAGTCATTCATTTACTTATCTGCCCTATCTATCTATCTATCTATCTATCTATCTATCTATCTATCTATCATCTGTCTGTCTATCATCTGTCTGTCTGTCTATCTATCATCTATCTATCATCTGTCTATCTATCTATCATGTCTGTCTATCTATCAATCTATCAATCTATCTATCTATCTATCTATCTATCTATCTATCTATCTATCTATCATCTATTGTCTGTCTGTCTGTCTGTCTATCTATCTATCTATCTGTCTATCTATCGTCTGTCTATCTACCTCTTATCTATCATCTGTCTGTCTGTCTGTCTGTCTGTCTGTCTGTCTGTCTGTCTGTCTGTCTGTCTATCTATCTATCCATCCATCCATCCATCCATCCATCTATTTTGTTTTTTTCCAGCCTGGGTTTCATTGTTTAGACCTGACCGTCATGGACTTGCTCTGTAGAACAGCCTGGCCTCAAGCGCACAGAAATCTGCCTGTGATCAGCCAGAGATAGGAGGCAAAGGCAGGTGGATCTTTGAGTCTGAGGCCGCCCTAGACTACAGAGTGAGCTCCAGGACAGCTAGGGATACAAAGTGAGACCTTGTCTGGAAAAAAAAAAAAAAAACCCAAACAATCAAAAAAGAAACACAGAAAAACAAACAAACAATGGTAGCAGACTAAATTATTTCTAAAAATATCTCCTCTACAGCTATGATATATCTATCCTCTCTATTGAAAGAAAAAAAATATATAAGTATATTGTAAAATTGGTTCTTTTACTGATGATTGGTCCCTATCTCATAGTTTTGGGTCCAGCTGATTGAATAACAATCATTCCAATCTGTGTCTCAGAAGCAGGCTGTTCTTTTTTGTTTTGTTTTGTTTTTTGTTTTTTCGAGACAGGGTTTCTCTGTGGTTTTGGAGCCTGTCCTGGAACTAGCTCTTGTAGACCAGGCTGGTCTTGAACTCACAGAGATCCGCCTGCCTCTGCCTCCCGAGTGCTGGGATTAAAGGCGTGCGCCACCACCGCCCGGCAGCAGGCTGTTCTTGCTGCTAAGCTTTATATACATACCAAATCAATGAGGAGGAAAGGAGAATGACCCTCCCACACATACTTTTCAGACTGTTGACTTTCAAGTGGTGACCCTAATGCATTAGGCTCCCAAGTACTGAACTGCATGTGTGCACTGTGCCGGGACACTGATGGGGTCTTTAATCTTAGGTCTTTTAGACAGTCAATGGGAGCTGTGTCCCGCCTCTCCAGCAGGCCTCACCTGGTGCCGTTCTGCTGAGCTGCTGGGATCATGCTGTAGTATACGGGCACACCCCCTGCTGGGAGGCCTCCTTGCACAGACTGGGTGGCAGGGACCAGCATAGGCTGCTGGAAAGGTGGCTGGACCACATTTTGTGAGTCACTGCCCACTGGGACCTGGGTAAAGAAGAACATGACTAGGGGTCAGCTCATCAGGAGCTCAGCACAACTTCCCATTTTAGGAGTCTCCTCCAGTGCTCCTCCTCTGCCCAAAGCACACACCCACAGAGCCATTACAAGCTCTCCTTCTTTCATACATCGTCCTCAGATAACAGACACAAGGAGGGAGCTTGGTTCTCCTCTGGACTGTTTCCTGGGCACAACAACTCTTATGTGACTGACTGTATGGAAACCACAGTCTAAAGACTCTTCTCAACTCTTTGGGCTTGCTTTGAAAATAGAACAACTCTAAAAGTGCTAGGGAAAGATGCTATCTCAGTGGTGGAAACTTAAGTCTGCATGACCCCGGGAGGCTGTCCTTTCTGCTTCCCAAGGATGGGGTGACCATTTCTAACACAGAATACACCCACTTGGTAGGAAGGCAGTGGAGTGTACTGAACCACAAGGCCTTGCATCTGGCCTCCCATGCTGCTTCTCTGGTTGCTGAGTAGGCCCTGGTTCTGAGGCTGCTGGACCCCAAGCATGCCTTGGTAAGCCGTCTGCTGCTGGTTAGGCATCATGGGCTGTAAACCTAAGGATGGATAAGGCACGGAAGTCAGTACGAGTGTTTAGGAGGTCACGCCCACAGCTCTAACTGCCTTTCCTTCTATATTCTTACCTGACTCCTTCCTTAGAAATCTAGGACTTCCTACTTCCTCCCCCCAAACCCCCTCCCCTGCCTGACTCCCGGGAAGGTCCTTCTCTCCTGGGCTCTGTCCTCCCCTGGACACCATCTCACACCAGCACTTCCACTCACCAGGCTGCTGGGATGGCTGAGGCAGCTGTTGACCACGCTGGGGGCTATAGGCCACCGGGTGAGAGAGAGGTCGATATTGCTGGTTGGAATTAGGATACTGTCCAGGGGGGTAGTAAGAAACCTGGATCTTTGGTCAGAGGAAATAGATGTAAGAGGTCTCTTTAATCCAGCCATAACATCTGCAAATTACTAAATGCCTCAGGGCTAATAACCAGAAATTTGCAAATAGAGACATTTTGGGTTCACAATTATCAGGTGACTAAACAAGTTTGAAATAAATCAAGACTTGTGTCTCTTGAAAGGAGGTCTCTGGTACAACAGGGACTGTCCAAAGTGAACAATGGGGATAGAAGTCTTTCTGGTCTGTCTAAACCAGAGGAAGAAAGAGCTGAAATACTCGACAAACGGGAGCACTGACTAGGAGCTGAGGAAAGGGCTGCTTACCTGCTGTGGGGGTTGCATGTAGCCTTGGGGTGGCAGGACTTGCTGAGTAGGTGGCGCATGGTTAGAGGTGGAGTAGTTAGAAGTAGGGAGGGGCTGCCCTGCAGAAGCCATGATGAAGCTAGCTTGCTGAGGATGTTGGGAAATAAGCGGGGGCTGGAACAGAGCTGAGGACGGGTCAGCTGCTTCAGTAGAACCTTGGCGGCTAAGGCTCATTTGTCCGAAGGGGTTGCTGAGGTCATCTGCCTGTTGGGAGAGTAGGAGACTCCAGGACTGAGGCTGTGCCAAGCCTTATGCATTTGGCTTCAATACAGAAAGAGACAGAGCTGGTGTGCTGGCACACACCTGGGAGGTGGAGGCTGGAGGATCATCAGTTCAGGATGAGCTTCAGCTACACACTAAGTTCTGGGCTAGTCTCGGCTACACAGGCCTTGTCTCAAATATATTAATAACTAAAACCAAGACCAGAACAACAGAAATAGCAATGTTCTAAAGCAGCAGTTCTCAAACTTCCTAATGCTGGGGCCCTTTAATACAGTCCCTCATGCTGCAGTGACCTCCAACCATAAAATTATTTTGTTGCTACTTCATAAGTGTAATTTGCTACTGCTATGAATCATAATGTAAATATCCGTGTTTTCTGATGGTCTTCAGGGAAGGGGTCAATGGACCCCCAAGGGGTCACGACCCACAGGTGGAGAGCTGCTACTCTACAGCATTCCCTAGACCATTTGAGGCAGTCGTGCTTCTGTGCCCTGAGAAAAGCTGTGTAAAGCCCAAGTTCAGAAACAGCATATCTACAGAATGGTGACAAGGGCTTCCCTAATGACAACTATTATTAAGGCTGTTTCTTGGGCGATGGAGGCAAAGGGTACAACTTCTACCGACCTAAGGAATACAGGACAAACAAGAATTCTTCTGTTTCCTGCATTCCTCATGCTCCTAGCTATAAAAAGGGCTCCTGCCTTGCTATAAATCCTGTTTTTATCAACCATCTGGAAACACCTGTGTAGAATATGGTCAGCAAGGTTCCTGTGCCTCCACAGCCAAGAACTGACTGCTGGGCTCACGCCTGCTGCTTGTCGCTGTGCCTCCCTTCCGAGGTCATTTCCACCTTTGTTCTCTGACACCAGCCTAGAGTTCTCCTGCCCTTCAAAACCCACTTCCAATTCTCACCTCCGAAAGGAGGCCAGGGAGAGAGGCTGATCCAGAGGAGGAGACTGACTGGCGGGACTGTAATTACCTTTCTCCCAGCTGTCTTTCCTACGCACAGGTGATGGTGTGCCATCTCGCACTTGCGTGGGCACAGGTTCGTTTCTTAGCTCCCTGGTCTGTTCTACTCTCTGAACAGTAATTCACATCCAAACACACATGCACACACATCCCTGAACAATAATTCACATCCAAACACACATGCACATCCATCTCTGAACAGTAATTCACATCCAAACACACATGCACATCCATCTCTGAACAATAATTTACATCCAAACACACATGCACACACATCCCTGAACAATAATTCACATCCAAACACACATGCACACACATCCCTGAACAATAATTCACATCCAAACACACATGCATATACATCAGAGTAGTTCTTTTGCAAAAGAAAATACTAGAAATCAAAAGGAAACGTTGGCCTCTTGATTCATTCAATTTCAGAGAACTGTTGCTATTTCTTGTCAGGAATAGATGACAAGAGGACTAGACTGCCGATGGATTTTTAGGTCCATATCCAGCACTTTCAGAATGGGGATAGGGGTAGGAGGAAAAGGGGTAGTAGTAAAACAGCAAAGAGGTGTGTGTGACCAATGTAAGTAGAAAAAGTAAGGGCTCAGCACCACCATCAAGTTATCAACTATGAGGCAAATCAGATTTGCAAAGGATTTGTATTTAGGATGCAAACAATTTATTTTTTTTTAATTTATTTATTTTTGGTATTTTTGAGACAGGATATTCCTCTAGCCCAGGCTGGACTGGGCAATCCTTCTGCCTTACCCTCCTAAGTGCTGAGATTGAAGGTCTGTATACTACACTCATTTACAAACAGCACAGAGGGCATGTACTGTGCATCTGACACAGTGAGATGGGTAAGAGAGGAAGAAGCTGGGAACAACGAACTGACGGATACACACAGCAGAGACGAGGGCCAGGCACCTCCCATCACCTCCTGACACTCCCCTGTCATGTATTTACCTATCTTTTGGTTGCCATGATGAGACCATCATTTGGGATTAGGTTCAGCCTGTGCTGGTCCCTCAAGAAATAGCTTTCAACATCTCTTCCAAAAGCACAACATGCTTGCAAGACCACCAGACTGACCCAGACATCCCCACAGATGCAGGCCACACAGGGACAAGACAAAAGGGAGCGTGGAGTTTATACCATGTTGTACTGCTGGGGCGGAGAAACTGGCAGAAGGACTTGGGGACAGGAGCTTGGAGAGAACTGAACAGGCTGCGGAGAGGGCTGCAGGGCCGGGACTGGCTGTGGACCAGCAGAGAGGCATGTGGAGAGGAAGAGAAAGGACAAAAGGAGAGGCGGAGAGGCAGAAATGGGGGGGAAGGGGAGGAACAGCATGTTAATCATAGGAGGCATTTCACATGGACCACAAGGCCACCGAGCAGCTTGGCCACCAAGCCTGGGGTAGCTGGTAGCTTTCACATCTCTATCAGAAGAAACCCAGTGTACTCTCTGCCCATTAGCCACTCAAACTGTGCGGCTCTTGTGAGTGTGAGTAATCTCAGGACTCTCAAGGCCAAGGTCTGTGATCTAAATGCCCACTTGAGGGATTCCTGTGTGCAGGGCTGCACTGCTTTTGTAGGAAGGGTCATCCAAGGGCAGGTCTCCTGGAAGAAGGGCTCACCCACAGAGACGTCGCCCTCTAGAGGGAAGAAAAACAACAGACACCCAGCAGATTCTGGAGCCTAGCCAGTTCCTGCAGGTTGTGAGGAAAAGATGCCCTCATGAACAAATGGGGTAAACTCAGGGTCAAATAAAACCAGATTAGCTATGTTTTTATCCCCATCCCTTCACTAGCTTCAGGCAGGAGAATCTGTTTACTGAGAACAACTAATTCTATTTTCCTCATTTGAATTATCTCATCAATTCTCCAATCAGTCTCCCATAGAGGAGGGAGGAGAAGAGAAGTAAGGAAAAAGAGGGACATAACATTTACACTGTTTCATGACAGCCTTACAAAAATATCTAGATATGATAGCTTGTAATTCCGACAATAAAAATAAAGGTCAACCTGGAGATGTAGCTAAGTAGAGTGTTTGCTGGAAATGCAAGGTTCTTGGTTCAACCCTAAGCAACAGTCCCCATTCCCTAAAAATAAGGCTCAGAGAATCTGAATATCTCACCCGGGATCATACAGCTAAATGACAGAATAAGGCTTGAAAACCCCGTCTCGAAAATCAAAAAAAAAAAAAAAAAAAAAAAACAGTTCTTTTCTTTTCTTTCTTTCTTTTGTGTGTGTGTGTGTGACAGGGTTTTTCTGTATAGCTCTGGCTGTATTGGAACTCACAGAGATCCACCTGCCTCTGCCTCCCAAGTGCTGGGATCAAAGGAGTGTGCCACAACCACACTCCTGAAATCCAGTTCTTTAGGACATGTGCTCACACCAGTCTATACTCAGAGTGTGGAGAGGGATGAAGGGAAGGGAATTATAAGACTCCCCAAAGGGAACTGGAATCCTTAGAGGATCTGACATTGGGATTTTTAAAAAGTTACTGAGAGTCCCAAATACCCTGGAAAGGAATGTTGCCCCAGCCTGGACTCCTGACAGTCCTTGTTTTCTATCAGCCAACGGCATTCTAAATGTAACTGCTGGCCAAGCTGCCAAGTGTCAGCTACAAATGCTGTTTTATTTTTTATTTGGCTTTTCGAGACAGGGTTTCTCTGTGGTTTTGGAGCCTGGCCTGGAACTAGCTCTGTAGACCAGGCTGGTCTCGAACTCACAGAGATCCGCCTGCCTCTGCCTCCCATGCTGGGGGTTTTTAACCTCCATTTGCTATTGTCCTCCCCTTCCTGGGAGAAGTTTACCTTGGCTCAGGCCTTATGAACTCTTGTTTTTCACACCCTTGTGAGTTTTAATGGAGACTAAAACTGGGAATGGTGGTGCACACCTTAATCCCAGCACTCGCAGAGACAGGCGGATCTCTGAGAGTTGGAGGCCAGCAAGGCTTACACAGGAGTCCAGGACAGTCAGGAGTACATAATCAAGATTCTGGAGTGAAGGGCTGGAGAGATGGCTCAGTGGTTAAGAGCATTGCCTGCTCTTCCAGAGGTCCTGAGTTCAATTCCCAGCAACCACATGGTGGCTCACAACCATCTGTAAAGAGGTATGGCGCCCTCTTCTGGCCTTCAGGCATACACACAGAATATTGTATACATAATAAATAAATATTTGAAAAAAAAAAAGATTCTGGAGTGAAGGGGAGAAGAGAGGAGGGTGGGGAGGATGGAGCTCCTCTGGTTCACTTAGCTAGGAAGCTTAAAGTGAGTAATGGATGTTTCACCTGCATGCGTACCATGTACCGCTTGCGTCCCTAACATCCACTGAGACTGAAGAGGGTACTTGTTCCCCTGGAACCAGAACTGCAGATGGTTGGGAGCCACCATGTAGATGTAGAAATGAACCTCTAAGAACAGCCAGTGACCAGTGCTGTTTGCTGCTGAACCACCTCTCCAGGTACTGCACTGGTTTTGTTTGTTTGGTTGGCTTGGCTTTTATTTTTTGTTGTTATTCTACTATTATCTTCTTGGACAGTCTCAAATTCCAGAACCAGGAGTGTCTAAGAGAGCACAAGGACATCCGTCGCCACCTACTGGCGAATCTGGAAAAAGTGAACAGCTCTACAGTGTCTTAAGACTCTAGTCACAGGGCTAAAGGGACTCTGCAACACTCACTTCAGCCTAAATCAACAGAACGAAACATGGCCACATGAGATGCATGTCTGCTCACACAGAGGAAACCTCTCAAGAGGGGCAGAGTATTGCTCTGCCAGGATAGCCCCGGGCCTCAACAAATGCCTCTTCTAGGCACTGAAGGTAACTATCCCTTTTTCAGAGTTCTCCAAAAGGTTTAGAACACAGTGGATAGCGTTCCACTTCCTTCATTTCTGAATCCGAGGAACCAATTTGCAATTTCTCAGCCCTATAGTGCTGACAGTCATTAGGACAACACAAAAAAAGGAAACAAGGAAGGAAAGGCCTCAGGTGTGAAGTCTGGTACCACAGAAGAAAGAGGGAGAGAACCAGTAAGAAGGAAGGATAGATGAAGGTAAAAGGTGTGTGTGGAAACAAATGTTAGATGGCAGTGTAAGACTTCTAGGACACTGCAACCTACCCAGGGGAGATTCTCTTGGGACTGTGTGACCAGGGTTAATCTCAAGAGTATCATTCTGAGAGAATACAGACCTAATCCCCAACCTACACCACTGCACACCAACAACTCATCCACTGAATTGCAGAATCCAGAGCAGGGGAGGACTTGAGTTCAAGTCTGGAGTTAGAGCCTACCACTCACTATTTCCTTCTCCCTTCTATCCCTTCTCCATTCTTGCTGTGTTTTTAGGTGTGGATAGCAGGTAGAAGGAAAAGACAAAAGACTAAGAGAGAGAAAGGGAGCAAAACTGTATTAAAATACATTTCAGGAAAAAAAAAACCTAAAACAAGCTGGGACCTTAGCAAGTGAAATAAAACAACAATAGGAGGTGGCTGGAGGGAGTAAGTTTACCCATTCCCAGTAGAGCAGAGGACCTACACACATGCCATGCCTTAGTGGGGACCCAAGCTAACAAGATGATGTCATGAGGCAGATGGTGGGTCATCCTGGGATCTTCCCAACTGACTTTCCAGGGCATGGCTACCAGGCTGGAACTGACTTTTGCATCTAGAGAGGAGCTCTATCTAAGGCCATGCTGGATTGCACAGGGAGATGAAGGATGCTGGCAGGTACAAGAACACATGAACAACTGTTTATAAGACAGCAAGTGGCTACTCAGAATATTTCTTATTCTTTATAGTCAGGACAGTTCCATGACAAACTGAGAGAAGACCTGGCTCTTATGTGGATGGCTTTCATGTCTGCACAGAAGCACATGTTTCTCAAACCCTGGTTAACACCAACATCAACCAGGGCTTTACTATGTAGCATTGTCTGCCCTAGAACTCACTACCAGGCCAGCCTTGAATGCATTGAGATTCAACTGCCTCTACCTCCTGAGCTCTGGTATTAAAGGTCTGAGCTGCCCCTCCACCATAAAGAAGATATGGCTCTTTTAATGGCAAGTCAAATAGAAAAGTTTTGGGGTCTTTATGTCTTTAAGGAAGGTCTTACTCTGCAGCTCATGCTAGCCTCAAGCTCACTATGTAGCCTGGCTATCTTCAAGCCTTGATCCTCCTACCTCGGCTTCCCACATGTGGCATGTCACCTGTCTGGTATTTTATGTCTTATGATAATATGCTGTGGATCTTGAGTGTTATTCTTGCCCCTGAACCAATAAATATGTGTTTATGGATCGACATATGGATCAGTCAACCTATGGAGTGAAAGGGGGGCAGAGCGCTTTTCAAGTTCCATATGTAGGCATAGTGAACAAAATCACCTTGTTAACTACACAGGACTTTAAAGATTACAGCAGAAACATGGTGTGGAGTATAAGAGCTAACAATCCTCAGTAAAAACTGGGAAAAACTGTCAGTCACACACCTTTGGAATCTCCATACACAGGAGGCAGAGGCTGATGAACTTCTCATTTACATAACAAGTTCCAGGCCAGGGAGGGCTACACAGAGACCCAGTGTCTAAGAGAGAGGAGGAAAAGGAAACAGAGCTCTCAGGCTAGCCCAGTGCACGGTACAGTCTGTAATCCCTACACCTGGGAAGTGGAGGCAGGAAGGAGAGGTGAGGCTGTCTCAACAGAACAAAGCAACAAAACTTTGGCCAAACATGTGACCTTATTCTTTTCTTCCAGCACCTAACAAATAATAAATGAAGGCAGGAGTAGAACACTTCTGACAAGAGACATGATGACCTCATTTCTAGAGCTTCCTTGAGTCAGAGCAAAGGGGGCCTGTGACTCACCTGTGAAATCATGTGATTATTCAGGGGAGGCTGTTGCTGAGGAGTGGGTGGGAGAGCAGGAAGTTGCTGCTGCTGTTGCTGCTGCTGTTGCTGCTGGGCAGGACAAGGGAGAAGGCCCCGGACAGACTGGGGTGAGGTGGCCTGGTTGCACACTTCTGGGGCACCTAGTGCCATACCTAAGGCAAAGAGGAAACCCACCCAAAGTTGTAAAAGTACAAACCACAAATATAACTACTCCTGAAGGGCCCAGCTTCAGGATTTTACTTTTTCCTTGCCCTTTTCTGTCACTTCCTTCTACCCATGCCCCACATTTATCCAAAGATCGATGCAAGGGTACAGATGTATTGCAGTTTCTCTGCTGATAGGCATCCACCTCTTAGCAGGTTTCTGCTTCCTAAAGTCAGGAACCACCTTGAACGTCAATGTCTGGTTTAGGAATTAAAATGTTCTACAGGGAGAGGCAGGTAGATCTCTGTGAATTTGAGGACTGCCTAGTCTACATAGTAAGTTCCAGGATAGTCAGGGTACATAGAAAGACCTGTCTCAAAACAAACAAACAAATAAAAAACAAAACTCCTCACAAATGAGATACTGTTGAGGCATCTTCCTGACGTGTCTAAAATCAATCTGTGTGTCACAATGTAGCTGAAAATAGAAAGCTTCAGAGATTCCTGGTCCCTTATGGGACTCTGTGTTCTTCTCACTTTCTCCTCAACTTGTATAATACTATTCTTATAAAAGCTGATTAGAGAGCAACTTGTTTCTTCAAGCAATCATAGTCACACATATATACAACCTTTACCCAACAAATTTTCCCATTTCCAGGCTAAGGCTTTTGCATATTCACACATTTATTTATTTAGCTATTTATTTTAAGGTGCCACTGTTTTTGATGTTTTATTTATTTTTATTTTATGTGCACTAACGTTGGATTCCCTGGAACTGGAGCTACAGACAGGTGTGGACTCGAACCCTCTGGAAGAGCAAGTCTTAACCACTGAGTCACCTCTCCAGTCCCCAATACATATTCTTAAATAAAGAGAAATAAATGTTTGCTCTGGCTCAACATACAACATACTTTTACTAAATACATATTACATGTGAGGAATTATGTAATAAACTTAGGATATAAACCTTGGCCTTTTGAAAGGCACAGGATTTCCTGATGGGATACATATCCAACTATTAAAATTTGGTAAGAGCTGGGCAGTGGTGATGCACACCTTTAATCCAGCACCTGGAAGGCAGAAGCAGGTGGATCTCTGTGAGTTCGAGACCAGCCTGGTCTACAGAGCTAGTTCCAGGACAGGCTCCAAAGCCATAGTAAACCCTGTCTCGAAAAACTAAAACTAAAAAAAAAAAAAAAAGAAATGGCTGGAGAAAGATAGACATTTGAAGCTACAATGGCAAACTAACAAGTTAAGCTTTATTAAGTAGCTTGAAATTTGTTATTATGTTTTTAAACAATTTATTTAGTACGTCTACAGTGTTCTGTCTACATGTATACCTGCACACCAGAAGAGGGCGCCAGATCTCATTATAGATAGTTATGAGTTACCATGTGGTTGCTGGGAATTGAGCTCAGGACCTCTGGAAGAGCAGCCAGTGTTCTTAACCTCCAAGTCATGTCTCTAGTCCTATTGTCTTCTTTTTGAAACAATATCTCACTATGTACTTCTGGCTGGCCTGCATTCACCGTATAAACCAGGCTGGCTTTGAACTCATAGAGACCCCCCTGCCTCAGCCACCCAGGTTGCCACCATGCCTTGTAGGCAATGGTGTAGGCAATGTAGAAACATGAGCTTTATGTGTGTCTGTGTCCATGGTCAACAGAAGGTGCTAGTTTCAGAACCACTCACCCTGTTTCATGGATTTGTTTATTGAGCTAGGCTGCTTGGTCAGCGAGCCTAGAAAATCCTCTAGTCTTTACCTTCCCAGTGCTGAGATTGTAAGTATACACCTTCATGCTTAGCTTTTCTGTTTGTTAGGATTTTTTTTTTTTTTTTTTTTTTTTTTTTGAGACAGGGTTTCTCTGTGTAATGCCCTGGAACTCACTCCGTAGACCAGGTTGGCCTTGAACTCACAGAGACGTGCTTGCCTCTGCCACCTGAGGGCTAAAATTAATGGCGCGCACCACCACACCCAATGTGCTTGATTTTTTTTAAAAATAGTTTTATTTTATGTGTATGACTATTTTGCCTGCCATGAATGTATGTATGTATGTAGGTATGTATGTGTAGTACATTCATGCCTGGTGCTCAGAGGCTGAAAGAGGGCATCTGATACCCAGGACTGGGGTCACAGATATTCGTAAGCACCAGAGTGCTGGGAATCAAACCCAGGTACTATGGAACTGTGCCCTGAGCTAATGATCTATATCAGTTGGATAACATAAAATAATCGAACTCCAACTAGTCTTTCTTCCCTCCTTCCTAAAAATGAACAGAGTCTGAAAGAAAATCAAAGAGGCAACTAGATTTAAGAATGGATAACAGATCCAAGAAATCAGATTTCTCCTCCTCCTCCTCTGAACTATACTGAACCAGATGTGTCATCCAAAGTGAGTTATTAAGGATGCTTTGCAAAAGCCCAGCAAGAAGGGCAGGTGTGACGAAGGGAGAAGCTGCGGTACCTGGCCTAGAGATCCTTCCTGCACTGCCACCTTTACTGCTGTCACCTCGGGTGAGGATGGAGATTCCACTGAAGCTGCTGGCTTTGGTGACAGGGGGTCGCATACTCCGGACAGAGCCATCTGAGTCTGTGCTGCTCCAAGGTCGTGGCTCCAGGGATTTGAGTTCGCTGTCTGTGCTACTCTGTCGGCTGCTTGAGGTGCGACTCAGCCCTTCACGGTTCCCCCTGCAGAAACCACAGTAGTTAGAGTACCCCCCACCCCCCCTTCAGCAAAAGAGCCGAGAGAGTTCTTTTTTTTTTTTTTATTCTTTCGCTAACCAAGAAGGGGGACATCTTGTTAGCTGGGTGGCCAACTAAGATTAGATGAGGGCAGACAAACAAGGTCCATACAGTAACAAATCTGGAGGACAGTGAGTGTACCAACACTAATTCAAGGCAGAGGGGAACCACATAGGCAGGACTGAGACTGATTGTGGTCTCTCTCTTTCCCACACCTGCAGAGATCTCACACATGCAGCGAAGGGGTAGTTGCGACTTGTGGAACTCCTAGAAGTTACTGTTGGCAGAAGGTAGGAGTAGCCAGGGACATGGGTAAATCCCACAAAAGGTCTCCCAGACAGCATGCACCAGGAGAGGTACTGGGTATGAACATCTTTCCTGGGGTTGGAAGATGACAGTGAACAGTCTGACTGTTGTTTCCGTGCTGGTCTTTCAGGACAACAGATTCCACAGCCACTGAGGACTGGAATCTGGTGCTCTTATGTGCTATAAGGTGTGTTTGTGTGTGTATATGCAGGCCCCCCACGTGTATGGAGGCCAGAAGTAGACATCAGGCATCTTTCTAAAGTGTTTTATACATTGTCTTCATTTGTTTTGTGTACACGTATGGATGTATGTTAGAAGACAACTTGCAGGTGTGGATCCCAGGAACCATACTCCAGCTGTGGGGCTTGGTGGCAGGCAGGCATCTCTTCTTGCTAGGTCATCTCACCAGCCTTCCACTTTTTTTTTTCTTTTTTGAGACAGTGGTTCTTACTGAATCAATTAGGCTGCTGGCCTAATTGAGCTCCATGGATGCTCTTGTCTTTGCCTCCACCCCCATTCCTAGGAGAGGGTTTACAGATGTTCTACCACCCATCCAGTTCTTCATGGATGTTGGGGATCTGAATTCAGATCTTCATGACTGTGCAGCTTTATAGACCAAGCCATTTCCTCAGTCCTTCTGCTGTGCACTCAGTGCTTCTTACTAAAGGCAAGAGTCCACAAGTCCCTTCATTTTACTTTCACTTAACAACTACTACCTAAGGTGCCCAGATGACAACAATAATAAATAAAGATTTTGGTATATACATTGGTGAATAACTTGGCAAAATCATGGTAGTGTGGGTTCCCTCCTTTTTTACCATTATCCCACCAAAACCAAACAGAAAATATTACTCAAATCACCTTAGTTTCAAATGCCCTTTGCCTCAGTTATTCTGAGAACTAGCTGACTTGAAACTTGAAATTCTACTGCTCTGCCTCACAACTTCTGTCTTACTGCAGGTATGTGCCATGAGAGGCTTATGGTCCTTTCCTAGTTTCTATTAGCCGTGCTGCCCATGGAGAGCTAAGAACAGACTGGCACAACAGATCAGGAATATGACAATTCTTAATTTCTACTCGAAATATATATAACCTCATGCTTCTTTCTATGTAGTCAGAATAAGAGACCGTAACATATTCCTGTTTTCTCCAAAACATGACCTTTTTTCTTCAAATGCTAAGAGCAAAAAGGGAATCAGAGATTGTTCAAAAATAGATGTGAAGCCGGGCAGTGGGCAGGCGGATCTCTGGGAGTTTGAGGCCAGCCTGGTCTACAGAGCAAGTTCCAGGACAGGCACCAAAGCTACAGAGAAACCCTGTCTCAAAAAAACCAAAAAAAAACAAAACAAAACAAAACAGATGCGAAGCAAGAGCCAGTAGCTATGTCTCAGCCAGGATACCCAAGGCAATGACGTGTGTCTGTGGGTGAGGCTGCTCCTTAGACACTGGAGCATGAATTCTGTTGGCTTTCTTCAATTAAAACATTGTCTTATGTATTAGGATAACCCTGTCTTTTACGTTCTCATTCTTGATACCTGAGGTAGACAGCAAATGAGGCAACCTTAAACTAAGTACCTTGGAGAGTTATGGTCGAAGCTGTAGTGCTTTTCTACCTAACCAGGTTCCCCATGGCAGAGAGGGTCAAATGCTCAACATGTGGACTGTCTGTTAATTTTATACAGTGTCCCTTAAGAGAGAAGCTAGAGAGAAAGCAAAGCAGTCTGTACAAATAATCATTTCACTAAAAGTATGGCAATTTGGGAGAGTAACTTAAATTAAATTCTGGGAGTGGATTGGGCTGTCTGCAAGTTAGAGGATGTGGTAGGGAATAAAAGGCTAGCTCAGCCTAACTGCTGCCACTGTATCAAGATGGGGTATATACACTGCCCAAGCAGGCCTCAAACCTGGTGTGTAGCCAAGGGTAACCTTGCACTTTTTATCCTTTTGTTTCTACTTTTTCACGCTGGGATTAGAGGTGTGCACCGCTGTTCCCACTCTCACGTCGTGCTGGTGACTGAACCCAGGTCCTCTGTACACTAGGTAAGTTCTCTATCAGGTACCTGACCAGCCCTAACCTAGCTTAAAAAAAAAAAATTGTCCTTAAACCTTTACATCGTCTTCTAACTTTTTCATTTTTATGAGGCAGGGTCTCACTGTAGCTCTGGCTGTTCTAGAACTTGCTATGTAGACCATGTTGGCCCTGGAACTCATAATGATCCTCCTGACTCCACCTCCTCCCAATTCAGTTGTTTATTTTTTTTTAATTATTTATTATGTATACAACATTCCTTCCATGTATGCTTGCATGTCAGAAGAGGGCACCAGATCTCATTATAGATGGCTGTGAGCCACCATGTGGGTGCTGGGAATTGAACTCAGGACCTCTGGAAGAGCAGCCAGTGCTCTTAACCTCTGAGCCATCTCTCCAGCCCCTTCAGTTATCTATTTTTAAAAAGTTTTTTTTTTTTGATTAGGTGGATATATGGGTGTCAGTGAGAGGTATGTGCATGCAATGCAGGTGCCCATGGAGCCCCATATTCCCCTAGAATTACAGGCAGTTGTGAGCTACCTGATGGGAGTGCTGGGAGCTGAACTCAGGCCCTCCAAGATCAGTATGTGCTCTTAACTGCTGAGCCATTTCCTTAGCCCCTACTTTATTTAACTGTTTATTTTCTTTACATTTAAACAAATTTGTGTGTGTATGTAAATGTCAGAAGATAACCCACACACAGGAACTGATTTTTCCTTCTGCCTTGTGAATCATGGGGTTGAACTCACGTCATCAGGGTTGTCAGCATTTACGTGCTGAGTTATCTCCCTGGTCTTTAATCAAAACTCAGTCTCATTTCTCAGCTTGCAGCAAAGCTCTGGAGAGGCGAGGCTGCAGCTGTTCGCAGCCTCTTGAGCTAGGCATCTGTGCACTAGGTACAGCCTGTGCTCACGGAGAGCACCACCCTCAGGGTGAGTGTGAATTAGGGCTGTAATAGAAGACAGGCTGAGAGGAAGAAGAGATGTCGGTAAAGAGCTGGGGTGGGACAAGAAAAAGATACTGGACAAAAATCAGCCTCAGTTTTGACACAGCTTTTGTTTCCTTTGATGGAAACCAACTGACCAGGTCAAGATACTGAAAGAGCTGGACTAGATAAGATTAAGATACACTTTGGCTACTGGAAAGCACTGTTCACACATAGGAGTTAAGACTATTATAGGCACTCTGGGATGATTACGACCACAAAGTGTATACTATCAAGCAGAATTTTCATTTTTTTAAATTTGAGAACTCTACTTATCTTTGGTCCCATTAACAATGCAAAGCTCACTCTGCCTCTGGTTGTCAGATGTACCTCAGGGTGGTACTATCCAGAAATAGAAAAGATCAGAGGGGCTGGGGAGATGCTCAGTGGTTAAGAGCACTGGTTGCTCTCACAAAGGACCTGGGTTTGATTCCCAGGACTCACATGGCGGTCTCACAACTGTCTGTAACTCTTTTCAGGGGAATCCGATGCCCTCTTCTGGCCTCTGTAGGCACTGCATGTACGTGGCGCATAGACACACATGCATGCAAAATACCCATACACATAAAATAAATCTTTAAAAAAAAAGTTCAAAAATATGGAAATTCTTTATCTCAAGGGTGGGAAATTTCATTGTCCCAATCTCTTTTTCCTCCTCTTCTTTTTAAGATTATTTTTATTTCTGTGTATGTGTGTGTCTTTGTGTGTGTAGGTGCACATGAATGAAAGTACCTGTGGAGACCACAGGGCATCCGGTCCCTTGGAGATGTGAGTGCTGGGAAACAACTTCAGGTCTTCTGTTACACAGGCGACCACTGAGCATCTCAGTTTAACTAGCTTTAGAAACGTCAGTAAGGACAGCACAACTAAAGCCTTAGAAATGAGACATATTCTGGTTTCCTTTGATACTTAGGATTTAAATATGGAGAAACCCTTTAGAAAGAGTAATGAGTTACAGAGTCAGATACCTATCTTTTCTGCGGTCATCTTCTGCTTAATATTGTCTCAAAGAGAAAACTACATAAAAAGACATTCACATATGTATTTGTATATGTGCACGTATTATCTTTCTGGAGATAAAACTATTCCCTAGTGTAGGTTCAGATAGCAGCTGTCCACATCTTCCCTAGAAGAGCAAAGGTGGTCAGCAGACACTTATTCTTTTACCTTACAATAGGTGTATGTCGGAATCTTTTAAAAATGTCCAATTCCAGGCAATCTGAGGGAGGATATGGTACCTACCTGTCTCAGACACAACTAGCTGTCCCCAACACCACCTCTCAGGACTCAATGAAACTGACAACAGTAAGGTCATTGAGAAGAAGCCTTTCCCCCAAGGGAAAAAGAAATCCAGTAAAGCAAAATCCACAAATTTAATTATTCTATAAGCAGCCATGCACGGAGCAAAACCACTCACTACACTGAAAAGATTACAGCAAAACAAAATTAAAATTAAAAAGGAGAGATATAGATCACACACAGGTACCTAAAAATCTGCCTTCTCTTGTGAGAGCTAGAAGAAAAGGCTTCTTTGCAGAGTCTGCTGGTTAACACCAAAACAAAACAAACAAAACAAAAATAGCATCATTTTAGGATTCTCTGAACCCCACTGATAAAGCTGAGCGATAAGAGAGAACATGTGAATGGTACTAACCTGATATCACTTAGATATCCGTTCTGGCCAGTCTAGGTGAGGGAGAAAATGGAAAATAACTCATAAGAAAAATAAGGCATAACAGAAAAGGACGTCCATGATGCTATCAATACCCACGATCTTCAAACCAAAGCTCTCACCCCACCAACAGGGAGAAAGGGAGCAAGGCTAGGGTAACCGACTGCCTTACCCGAGCCTGACTCCTCACCTTTCCTGTGAAAACACTTGGTATTTTTAGCCTTTCCACAATGTTTAAAATGAGGGTTGATAAAGGGAGCATGGAAAGGAGGAAGGGGAAAGTTACAAACCTAATTATTTCTTTTTTTTTTAAACCTCTACATTAGTGAACTGACTATAATAATCAACATACTGTATTTTAAGAATGTTCAAAGGAAGGGAGACACGAGAAGGAAACTTCGTTTTTTTGGAAATTAATCTCAGTGGCTGTTGTCTTTCTGCCCTTTTGATTTGCCCAAAATAAAAGGCTCTCTGACTTGAGCCCCATTATGGGTGAGATACTGGGGCAGCAGATACCGTTTAGAGCCTAGAAAAAATGAGGACATTAGAAGTCTGAAGCCGTCCCACCGGGATCACTTTTTCTGATAAAGCCACTGAGCTGAGTGAGGTGAGCACTGTGGTGGACTTCCAAACCTCCGAAGAAGGCACCAAGAGCATCCAGCAGTTGAGCATGTGGGCTCTGCACAGAGCAGAGACTCCTCCATTGGGCAGCTTTCCCAAGACACAGCTCAGGCTCTAGAGAAGGCTGCAGCAGCAGCATTTCCATCCGAACACCCTTCTTGGCACTTCCCGTTCTGGGCCTGCCTCCTTGTCCTCACTCTACCCTCAATCACTCCCTCTGCCCAGGAGGGTTCCTCTCCACATGGAATCTTTGGAGGATGGTGGGCTTTGGCCATTTCTCCTCCTCTAGGTCTTCTGAGATTCGAGGCCTCTACTACAAGAGCTAGGAAGTACTGAAACGAAAGTGATAAACCCACGAGGATTTAACAAAGAATACATGTGTTAGCAGAGGCTTGAGCAACTAGAAATCAGGAGGGAAAAGGAGAGAAGAGCTAACTCTGCCTTCCTAATGGCTGTAGGCAGATGTGTTCCACTGTGGTTGATAAGTAGCCCCAATGTTCTAAAAAAGTTGTCTGTGCTTTCAGATCATAGGGTTTTGCAAAGGGCTTGACACACTGAGGCAACCATTTCCCATGTGTCAGTGAGGATGCAGATAGCTAGGCTGTCATTGCTGGCACTTGTGAAGACCCCAGAGTAGAGCGAGCTAGCAAGAGGTAGCTCCTATTAGGTTATGAACACGGACTCTGGAGCCAGACTGTCTACCTAGCAATGTTTAAGAGGTTGTTACCAAACCTCTCTGTGTTTTATTTATAAAATAAGAAAAATATTCAAAATAACAGACCTATTGTGAAGATGTGAATTCACCTATATAAAATGCTAAGTATAGTGCCTAAAAGCTAATGCTTACTACGTGAGTATTTCTATTCACAGTTAGGGTCATCCTGGTCATAACCATGATATCTCTCATTCCACCCACAGGGTTTGCAGGTGATGTATGAACTCTCTGAGTAGGGTTAATTTGGAGGGCAGACTTTTCTGACTCAGAATGGAAGTCTACATAATAGAAGGTAAGAAGTTGCTTCTTGAATTCTAGGCCAGAAAGCTTGTTGTGTGTCACTTTCTAGGAAGGATTCGTAAAAGTACTTGGCTCTCTCTAGATAATGGATCAAACACACGGGAGTTCAGGAGTTTAGTTGGAGACGATATTTTTCTGAGTGAGGTGATGATGAAAAGACACACACACGTTGTTTTGTGTGTGTTTGTGTGTGATATAAAAATGGGAGGGGTGTCTTGATGAGAGAAGAAGACAGAGGAGTGGGAGGGAATAGTGTTCATCCACATGATTTGACTTCCTTTGTTGCTACTCTGACAGTAAGATGTTTTCCTATCTGGATCCACATGTTCTGGAGATCTGTTTACCTGCTGCTCATCTAAACCCTTTCCTGAAACAAGCTATACATCTCTTAGACTAACAGGCAAAGGTAACCAGATACAGGGGTAACAAGTGCATCTGAAATGGCCCACGTTCTTAAAAACAAAGCTATCTAGACTCGGTGATGCTGCCCTTTGGACTATGGAGCCCTTCGTTTTCTAGGAACAAGGTAAGAAATAACGGAAGAAGGAGACTCCCCATTCAAGCAGTACCAGAGGGAGCAAGAGTACCCTGTGCATGGGGATGTGGGGTCTGTAGAGGATGATGCCAGAACAGCACTTGACTAAAGCATCAACACAGCCTAGAAACAAGCTGGCTAAACAAGATGGGTGTCGAGCCTGTATGGATGCTGAGTCTTCTACTGAGAAACAAAGATGCGCAGAACAGACAATGGGAATCTACAAGGCAAGCTGGAGAAGGCCCTGCTAGCCAAGACTTAGGTCCTTTCATAATCAGCTCTGCCGAAGGCATTTCTCTTTCCGGTCTAGTTATATTTACCAAATTCAGCCACTCCAAGTTTCGGTTCTCTTTGGATACCATACAGCAAAATATATTTTAAAATACAAATAAATACCTGTAGCTTCCCAATAAGCCACATTCAGGGTTAGTAGAGGTCAAATCTGGGACTGACTGATGTTGGTTTAAAAAAAAAAAAAAAGAAAAAGGAAAAGAAATACAAAGAGCCAACAACATTTATGGTGGGTTCATCCCATTCACAGTTCCAAGGTTAGAGCTAAGAGCTAGGATCTGACAACTCTCAGAAGCTACACTTACCTCTCGGGCAAATATTCTCTCTCGGACCCTTTGATATTCCTCCTCTCTCTCTTCTATTGACTTGCTCCTCCTTCCATCCTGCAATGGAACTCTGATCTAGATCGATGAGCAGAATTAAGCTAGTTAAGTTCTCCTCGTACTGCAAGCTCACTGCACACCAGCAAGGAAGAGAAACCGGGAAAGTTTATAGTTGCCATCAAAAAAATGGAAAATAAAGAAATGAAATTTCCAGTCCTGAACAGGTTTCACTGGGTACATCTGACCATGCAGTTTGGGAGATCAGCTTTTCTGGATGGTAGAGGACTTGCCATACCCCACCCACCCCACATACCAAGAACAACAACTATTTATAAGGGTTGGGTTGCTTCCCTGGAGTAATCAAATACTGTTCAGTCAGTAAAGATGAAGACAACAGCCCTGGGAAAATAAACAACCGCTCTTTAGAGGGCAAGTAAGGGAAAGAAGGAAGCTGAAGAGGGCAAAGAAATAAGTGTTTACCAAAGCTGAATGTAGAGGAGGTTCACAGAACTAACACTCAATAGGACCCCGTCTTTTGTCCCTAATGCCATGTCCTAGCAACCCAAGTCAAACATGACTTAGCAAAGAGGGTCTTAGGCATTAAATCTCAGGGGTGAAGCTAATCTAAAAGACTACACATTTTTGTCACCTTAATTATAGCTATTGAAGGGAGTTGAGGAGACAGAAATTACAGAAACAAAAGAACAAAGAGAACAGAGCAACACAGAAGAGAAGGAGAACAAAATGGAAAGAAACGAGCAGAGAAAGGAGCAGATTAATGAGTACAGTGAAAAGAGAGGAGAGGAGTCAGATAGGGTACGGAAGGAAATGGAGCACACAGACTTCATGCTCTCTGACAGACAGTGAGGTGAGCAACAGGATGTCTCATGGGCAGATGACCACTTCCAGCTAGCCATCACCTTGCTTCCCAGCACTGCTTCTCCTCTTCAACTGCTACTGTGAACACTGTGGGGCGGGGGGATGTATGGAGAACCCTTCGCTACAGTGACTGCAAAAGCAAGGCGTTCTGAGAGGGAACTCACAGAGCCACTGTCAGCACACTACAGATAGCTCTGACCTGCAGTCAGATCTAAGAACCCACTGCTCTAGGCTGATACTGTCATTACCAGTTTCCAAAGGCAATCCAAGACTTCCGAAGTCTTGCTTCTGATTAGATACAGTCCTCATCACTCTTTAGACCTACAGCCCACTAACCATCTTTCATCAGCTCAATTACAGGAAGACAGAGACCCTCAACAGTGCTGAGCCTCTAGCACTGATAAGCCAGTGGCAGAGTAGAAAACATAATGGGGCGTCAAGGTAAATCCCAGCTCTGCTGACTCCCAGTAAAGTGACTTCAGGCAAGTAACTTGGCATCTCAGACTCAGTATTTTTATGTGTAAAGTGGTTAATAACCCCATTTACACTGGGTTGTGGAAAGAATCAAGAGATAACATATATATGTTTAAAGCAAAGCCCAGCTCAGGGAAAAATAGCAATATTACGTTTTTACTAATACCACAATCAGAAAGCACACAGAATCTACTCTACTACAGACAAAGCTTGAAGCTGTGAGATGAAAAGTTCACAACAGAACAGATCACCTTCCATTCCAATGTGCCTCTAGGCCTGAACACTTCCTGATCCAGGGAAAGGGTTTGGGAAAATGTGGAGAAGGGCATCAGGATGGAAAGGCTCTTTCTTGTTTTACAAAAATTTGTCTTTTTGTAGTTTTCTTTGCTTTCAATCAGACCCAGCATGTTTGTCCCCATTAGATAATGACACCTTTCTTAAAAGAACTCCCTTTCATAGTCAAGCAAGCAAGAAAGGTACTGGTCTCAAGACCATGTAATATTTCAAGAAAACGAATTTTGGCTCTAGAAGTAAGACATTGTTATAGAGTTGCTAACCCTTAGAGCGTATTGGCTCTACCCAACCATACTCTTCAAATCAATTCCCCTTTGGAGTCCAAGCAGATGCAGAATAACTCTGAACTTCCCATTTAGCTAGGAAAACTAATCCTTGATCATTTGCTATCTCCAGGGGTAGAGGTCAGAGCAGCAGCCAGACCCCCCACAAATGAAGGGATAGGACAGTTTGTTAATTTCTTAGTTCCACAGGAGTGTACCACAAAGGGACCCGAGTTCCCAGCATGGAAAGTCAAGTTAACTCACCTTGGTAGGAGGTGGGAAAAAGATTAAGGAGTTTGCCAAAGGGATCAGATATACCTTTATAACTGATTAAATTAGATCATAACTTTGCCAGTTCAAGGCTAGTCCTCAGCTAGCATAAGAATGAAAATGGGATAAAGTAGCTTTTGGTAGCTCTCTATGTAAAGTCTAGGGGTCAAGTGGAGGTGCTGGGGGTGGGGGGAGACGACACTGAAATCAGCTAGATCAAGGCTGACATGGAGAGGGGCCTTATTTTGTACAAAATGAAATGTGGTTAGAAGTTAGTGGCAGACCTAAAGAATTGTAGGCCAAATGAGGTCACTCAGCAAACCTGAGCACCATGTCTCTCTGGGGCTATGAGGGTGGTGCGCAACTCAACAACTGTAGTCAGATCCTCAGGGGTGAGCCAAAACCAACTCCAGATAACAGCTCTATGTATGTTTCCATTCTAAGACATTCTCAATTTTCTCCACTCCCCCACCCTCCTCCCTTCCCAGTTTCTCTTACTACAGTCTCTTTAGGCCCACCCTTTCCATTCTTCACCTGGTTATCATCTCGGTCCACACTGGCGTCATCTCTCTTGAGAATGAACCTCTGTTGAAATTCTGTGTTCTTCTCGTCTTTTATGTGTTCTGAGAACCTCTGTTCAGGGCTGAAGTGGGGAAGAAAGGAGAAAAAGACCTTTACGTTAGGAGGAGAGCCCCTAGGCACAGGTCTCTAAATTCCATATCCTCTACTCAGAGGATTTTTGGTGTCAGGAATCAAAAAAGTCACATGAAGGTTTAAAAGAATCTTTGTGTGTAATCTCTTCTCTCCCCCATCACCTTTTTCAGAGACAGCATCTCCTGTAATCTGCTCCTGGAGTGCTGATCTGTCTGCCCCTCACCTTTCCTGAGTACCACTACTACATGATGCCCACTCTCTGTGTATAATGCTTCATTCACAGCTGTGTCTGTCCTGTCTAATCAGAACCTGTCTCTAAGACCTCACAGAAAGCAGGAATCAATGAAACACCCTTCCCTCCCTGGAGGAGACACCTGGGTTCTATCTTCCACTTCTATCATAGCAGCTGTCCCATGGAAATCTTCCCAGTCCACAGTTTCTCCCTTACATTCTCGTGTTGCTGGTTTTGTTGATGATGACAGCTTTCCCAGTTTGATCAACATTATGGTCCATCCCAAAATAGGCAGCCACCCGGTGTAATAGCATCCGGTGATAGGAGGTCATCTGAGGGAACTTCTTGAACTGGTTACTGAAGGGGTACCAGGGATAAAAAATAAAAGATAACAGGAGAAGGCAACTAATTTTCCTCAACAGTGTCTAGAGTAGATTTTTTTCCCCCCGAGACAGGGTTTCTCTGTTTAACAGTCCTAGCTGCCCTGGAACTCGCTTTGTAGAACAGGTTGGCCTCAAACTCACAGAGATCTGCCTGCCTCTGCCTCCCAAGTGCTGGGATTAAAGTCGTGTGCCACCACTGCCTGGCCTTTTTTTGTTTTGTTTGGAGTACAGAATTTTTTTTAAAGGAGAACCAGACATACAAAAAACAGATATTTAGTTTGTGAGAACAAAAAGTCTCTCTCAGTATTATTCTGCCCCAGTCTCTAGTAACCCTACCCCTTCCCACCCTGGGCTGACCCCTCCTAAGGCCTGACTGCCACCACCTGATGCTGTTAGTCAAAGGGAATGGGAGAAGTGGAGTGAGAACTGTGACCATTCCTAGCTGCTAAAAACAACAGGAATGTTTTTTGGCTCAAATTTATATAAATGATAAAAACCTCACCTGCTTTTATATACATGCTGTTTAACCCATTCAGACTGCTTCTACTAAAGCAGTACATAGCTTCTTTCCAATGTCCCCTCCCACCTCTAAATGTATATTCCATAAAGGCGACTTACTTGTTGTCACTGATAAACTCCAGAATCTCCTGTTCTAATTTTAGCAGCATCATTCTGTCCCTGTTTAAACAAGATTAAAACAAACAAACAACAAACAAAGAGCTCTCCCATAGATATTTAAAGGAGGGACTGAAAATCAACTTGTTCATCGCAAAAACCGAGGGGTCTATCCAAACTCTAACTGAAGAGCCTCCCTCAGCTACCCAATGTTCTGCAGAGAACACAGCTCAAGTACACACTTTCTATGTCTTTCCTATCCATGTACTCTGTCACTCACATCAGTAATCTAATTATTAGCAGCATATTCATATAAACACATAATTTGTGCTTGCAAATATAGGCATTATTCTATACCCCACCCAGTTATTTAGGGTTTAAAACAGTTATGATTTTGCTTATGTACAAGTCAACTAGCTCACACCTTTGGGATTTTTAACTAGTAAACACTCAAGTCTTCAAATTTCTTAGTCATTGTACTCTTCTTAAAATTTTTCTCAACTCTTCAAAACCCAGAAATCTCAATGTGAGTATTCTGAATCCCTCAAAATATAAAACTATATTTTAGAAGAATTAAGAAAAGATGAACATTCTATATTCTAGTAATAGAGAAGTGCTGAAAAGCTGCTTGACTTGAAAGGGCTCTGCAATTCCTACCCTATCCCTTCCCCCTTCACATCAATCATGTTATTACCTTGGGTTCTTTTTCAGTGTATTCACAAGAAATTCATGTAGATCTATTCCAGTGGAGTCAGTATATTCTTGGCTGGAGTCTAGAACCACCACAACAAGAGAAATGTAAAAGAAATGAAACATAGCATGGTATCTAATTTCAAATAAAAGCCAACGTCTAAACAGAAATTCCAAGAACAGGAAACCAAAATCAAACCTCAAGCTCACAGCATTAAATCTTGAATGTTTACTACTAGCTCTGTGACAGTTCCTATCATGTTCTGGGCTGTGATAAAGCACTTATCTAGAATGTGTAGGGTCCTAGGTTCAATTCCAAGTATTGCAAAAAAGGGGAGAAATCATGGGCTAGGGAAACATCTCAGTGGATATACTGCAGATCCCAACACCCACATAAGAGCGGTGCTGGGACAGACAATGAAGACAGGTGAGCCTGTGGAACTCACTGGCCAGCCAGTTTACCTAAACCAGTTCTAGGTTCAGTGTAGAGACTGTTTCAAACTATAAGGTGGAGCGACTAGTTATGGCTCAGTGGTAAAGGCGCTTACTGCCATAGCTGGTAATCTGGATTTGATTCCCAGAACGTAAACAGTGGAAAGAGAGAACTAACTCCTGAAAGGTGTCCCTGACTTCTACACATACATCACACACACAAATAATAAACACAGAAATGTGTAAAAAAAATTAAAATAAGGTAGAGGGCAATAGAAGAAGATACCTGACTTCAACCACTGGCTTCTACATATGCGAACATGTACACATAAATATACCCTCCCCCAAAAAAAGCTCCTATTACAACAAAATGAAGAATGGAAGAGTATTAAATCAATATTACACTAAAATACTACTTAACATTAATAAATATTTGTCAAATGTCCTGACCAAAATAAAGCAGGTTTTATTCTACCTACTACAAACAAATTACAGGTAAGAGCAGTCATAGTTGAATTTTCCAAAATCTCAGGGACTTTGTCCAATATAGATGATTTTTTTAAGCCCAAGGTTGCTTGATTTACTTGTTAAATATAATTCTTCAAAACCTGAACAGTGTGTGCCCACAAGTAGACACGCCACGGCACAGGGATCAGAGTGCAACTCTAGCGCCTTCTCCTTTACACTCTAGGTGGATTCCAGGGCTGACCTGGTGCGGGAGAATTGTCTGTATTCTGTCAATCATGTTATAAATAAACAGTGATTGGCCAGGCAGGAAATATAAGCAGGAAAACCAGACAGGAAGTAGAAATGATGTAATGAGAACAGGAGAATTCTGGGAAGGAGGAAGTTGATTCCTCCCACTCCTGCCCAGACCACCGAAGCAGCAGGATATGATCTGCCCCACTAAAAAAGGTACAGAACCACATGGCTAACATAGATCAGAAAAATGGGTTAATCAAGATGTGAGAGTTAGCCAGTGAGAGGCTAGAGCTAATGGGCCAATCAGTTTATAATTTACGGAGACCTATGTGTGATTTTCTTTGAGGCTAAACAGCTGAGGGTACCTGGTGGGAGGACAAAAACTCCAACAACAAACAAGCAAACAGGACCCGTCATGCTACACTGACCTGCACTGTAAACACTGTTACCCACATAGCCATTTGCTGTATCACAAATGTGATAGTTTTTATAGACTCTGTCTTTTTGCTACCACTCCAAAGTTTAAAGCCAGAGTCTAATAAGTAGAAGTTTATCTATATTATAAAACATTTATCAGGGCTGGAGGTGTAGTTGGTAAAGGGCTCATTTTAACACATATGAAGCCCTGGGTTTGATCCTGAGCACCACTTAACATAGAGTATGGTAATCCCAGTACTCAGGAGATGAAGGCAGAAGGATTAGATGTTCAGGCCAGGCCAAATTACATGAGACCCTGCATCTAAACAAACAAAACACTGCAGCCACCCCCAAACCAACATGTAAAGGTTATCTGGAAGACCGCTATCATGATTATCCGTACCATTATCTATCTCAGAGCATACAAAACCACAACTGACAATGCTGCCTTATCCTGGGTCGTGTCAATGCTGGCAGAGTATATCTCTGTTCTCTGTGAGAGCTGAGGCAAGTTCATTAAAGGAGCATAGAGGTTAATTAACCTAGTTAATTGCTCCCTCAAGCAACCAAGTCAGCAGGAACTGCTGGGCCAGTAAAACTAGTCGGTGCCAAGGTGTCACGATGAAAAGAAAAAATTGTAGATTTGTAATCCTAGATGCTCAGGAGGCTGAGGCAGGAAAACCCAAGGCCTGCCTCTACTACATACCAAGTTCAAAGAAAACTTGGTGAGATTCTGTCTCAAAATAAAAAGTAAAAGATAACTGGAGTTTAGTACAGTGGTGGAGTGCTTGCCCAGCACGCAGAGCCATGAATTCTGTCTCTAGCACCACATTACAGCCAGGCATAGTGGCACATACCATAATCCCAGGATCCAGGAAGTAAAGGCAGCGAGATCATAAATTAAAGGTCATCTTCATCCACAGAGCAAGTTATAGGCCAGGCTAAGCTACATGAGACCCTGGCTCAAAATTTAAAAGAGAAGGAGCTGGAGAGACAGCTCAACAGTTAAGAGCACTGCATGCCCGTCCAGATGACCTGGGTTTGATTTCCAGTGCTACATGGTGGCTCATTACTCTCTGTATCTAACCCTAAAGAACTGGCACCCTCTTCTGGCCTACTTGGGTACCAAGTGTGCACATGGTGCACAGATACACACTCAGAGAAAACATCCATGCACACAAAATAAATGTAATTTTTGAATAAAAAAACCGAAGATGCGAGGCATCTTTAACTCAGTACTGGGAGGCAGAGGCAGGCTGATCTCTATGAGTTCAAGACCAGCCTGGTCTACACAGTGAATCCAATGCCAGTGGCCTAGTACGGGGAGTGGCAGGTGGCAACTGACTTCAGGGTGTCAGCCCACCAAGCGGTGAATCCCTGATAGGCAGGGCCCTGAGACCACAGACTCCAGAATTTCTTTTGCTTCTACTGTGCCTTTACATGTTTGCCGTCTTTCTCTGGTATCTGCATGGTGTGAATGGGTGTGGGGGGATCCCCACTGCCTACAATGTAGTGTATTTCTCATGGAAACATCCTGATCTACTGGGCATTTTTACCTGTGGGTTATTATGAAGACGGTTCCTTCTTAAACTGTACTGTTTAATTAATAATAATAATGTTAGTTTAAATAGTTTTGATGATAAAAAATAAAACAAGGAAGTGCCACACAGCTAGAACACATGAGTTTCTGTTGAGGAACTGTACAGTCTGTGGCTTAGGTTAATGATTAAGAAAAATATCTGAGCCCGGGGGTGCGGGTGTTGATATACATCTTTAATCCCAGCACTCGGGGGTGGGGGGGGCAGAAACAAGAGGATCTCTATGAGTTCGAGGTCAGCCTGGTCTACAGAGCAATTCCAGGATAGGCTCCAAAGTTACAGAAAAACTCTGTCTTGAAAAACCATAAAAGAAAAGAAAAACAATTAAGTCTTGGTAGCCCAGCTAGCTTAAATTCTTTTAACCTTAATGTTGGGAGATGTGTTCACAGTTTTCGGAGTGCATTAATAGCTGAAACAAAGCTTTGAAAATATTAGACTAAGGGCTGGAGAGATGGCTCAGAGGATAAGAGCGCTGGCTGCTCTTCCAGAGGTCCTGAGTTAAATTCCCAGCAAACACATGGTGGCTCACAACCATCTGTAATGAGATTTGGTGCCCTCTTCTGGCCTGCAGGCATATATGCAGGCAGAATATTGTATATATAATAAACCTTTAAAAAAAAGAAGCTGGATTTCAAAAAGAAAAGAAAAGAAAAGGAAATATTAGACTAAAATGTTTTTGTCAAATAGTTTTGAGGTTAAAAAAAAAAACCCAAGAAGACAATCTAAGTTTTAGAGAGGCACATAGTTGAGTGAGGAACTCGTCAAGGTCAGGGAACAAGAAAAAAGCAGCGCAATTATTACTAGCTGATGCACTTTTCTTGTGAAGATTTGTTGATGACCATAGGCGATGATTAATTCCTTATACCCATTTCCGCTATTAATCTCTACTGATGAGTGGGTATGTACCCTAAAAGTTTAAAGTAGAGCTGACTAATTCTTTTTCATATATAAAAGGTTAGATTTGTGCAGGTTGTGGTGGTACACGCCTTTAATCCCAGCACTCGGGAGGCAGAGGCAGGCGGATCTCTGTGAGTTCCAGACCAGCCTGGTCTACAAGAGCTAGTTCCAGGACAGGCTCCAAAGCTACAGAGAAACCCTGTCTCGAAAAACTTTAAAAAAAAAAAAAAGAAAAGAAAAGTTTAGATTTGTGATTCTTTTATGATTCCTTATAAGATAAGTAATAACTGGCCCTTTCTATGTAACTGCAAAACACAGTCTGCCAGTAAAAGACCTGACTAAGAAGACTATCTTGTCTGCTTACAAGCTGCTTGGGTATGAAGGTGCAGGGGTTCTTGTGAAAATTTCTTTTTCACCTGTACTAGGTAAAATGTTTAATTATATTAAGGGATATGGAAAACATGCTGCTTTAAACTTGCATTCATTGTAATCATTCACTTGAAAAATAGAAGGTAAATACATTGTAATTCCTATATTGCTTGAAAAAGTTTGTTTGGGTATGTACGCTACAGAAAAAAAGTATACAGTAGAAAGAATATAGAAGAATAGAGAAGAAGGAAACCATTAAGAGAGTGTGAATGTCTTTTTCCCTTAACCCTCCTCAGATAAAAAAAATCCTAGTACATGCAGGTGTTGTGGATTTCCCTTTGAGCCCTGTGCTGCTGGAGGCTGGCAATAAGCAAGGACTACAGTCTCCCAAAACAAAAACAAAATAAAATACCTTTCCCCTGAAAAAATGAGATGTAGAGAGACAGAGCACACTGTGGCTCAGGTGCTAATCTGGATGAGAGGTACAGTCCTCACCTCTGGACAGCATCTTCCTTGGGACCTTTTCTTTGCTTTTGTCCTTGTCTTCCTTTTCAGAGACATCTTTTGTGGACTTTTCTTCCTCCTTGTCAGATGGACAGCTGATGTGCAAATGAATAATATCCTTAAATAAAAGAAAGTGACACATAATCAAAGAAGGGAAAAGATGTAAACCCTTTGCTGGGTGTGCTAAAAATGGTTCATCTTAATTAAGAGCACTTGTTGGTCTGGCAAGAACCTGGGTTCATTCCCAGCACACATATGGTGGCTCACAACTATCTGCAACTCCAAATCCAGGGGATCTGATGTCCTCTTCTGACCTCTGTGGGCATGGACACGATGCACAGACATATATTCAGGCAAAACATTCACACACATAAAATCAATTTTGTTTTGCTTTGTTTTTTTGTTTTTCGAGACAGGGTTTCTCTGTGTAGCTATGGCTGTCCTGGAACTTGCTCTGTAGACCAGGGGCCTCATACTCACAGAGATGCAACTGCCTCTGCCTCCTGAGTGCTGGGATTAAGATTAAAGGTATGAGCCACCACCGCCCAGCTAATAAATATTTTTTTAAAAAGCTCTTTTTTAAGTCCCTCAAAAAAACAATAGAAGCAAATCTCAGGACGGCAGCTTTATCTTTCCTTTCCTTCTTTTTTTTTTTTAAAAAAACTTTTATATGTGTATGTGTACACAAAGGAGTGTTTGTGTTTCAGTATGGGCATGTGTGTGCCACAATATACTTGTGTAGGTCTCTTGTGGAATATTTTTTTCTTTTTTCTTTTTTTGGATTTTTCGAGAAAGGGTTTCTCTGTAGCATTTTGGTTCCTGTCCTGGAACTAGCTCTTGTAGACCAGGCTGGCCTCGAACTCACAGAGATCTGCCTGCCTCTGCCTCCCAAGTGCTGGGATTAAAGGCATGTGCCACCACCGCCTGGCAGAATAATCTTTTTGTACACTGTGAAGATGTGTTAACTGTTATTGGTTTAGTAAAAGGGTAAATGGCCAACAGCTAGGCAGCATATCCAGGTATAGAGGACACTGGGAAGAAGGATGGAGATGCCAGGAGTCACCACTCAGATGCAGAGATGAGTTGACAAGCCACGAGTTATGTCACAGCATATAAATTAATAGAAACACATTACTTTAAGTTTTAAGAGCTTGTCAGAAACAAGTCTAAACTATTGGTCAAGTTTTCATAATTAATATGTCACTGTGTCATATTTTATGAGCTGGTGGCCTAAAATAAAAGTCTTATTTCCAGAGGTCAGAGACCCTTGCTTGAGACATGCTTTCTTGTGTGTAGTGATGTGTCCATGCTTTTAGCTCCGGCAATTTTTCAGTCGTTGCCTCTTATCTCACCATAGGAAAATTCACACTGGGCATATGAAGTCCTTGCATGCCAAGGCTTTAGCCACTATGGTGGTTTGAATAAAAATGAACACCATAGGCTTATATATTTGAATGTTTAGTGGCCAGGGAGAAGCAATATTTGAAAAGATTAGGAGGTGTGGCTTTGTTGAAAGAAGTATCTGGGAGTGGGCACTGAGGTTTCAAAAGCCCACGGCAGGCCCAGTGGCTCTCTCTTCTTGCTGCCTTTGGATTTGGATGTAGATCTCTCAGCTATGCCATGCTCCCTGCCATGATGACAACAGATTAAACCTCTGAAACTGTAAGCAAGCTGCAATTAAATGCTTTCCTTAGCTGTGGTCATGGTGTCTCTTCACAGCAGTAGAGAGCCCTGAAAGACCCACTGAGTCATCTTCCCAGCCCAAACTTAATCTTTTTCTTTTTCTTTTTTTATTGATATTTATTGAGCTCTACATTTTTCTCTGCTCCCCTCCCTGCCTCTCGACCCCCATCTTTAACCTTCCCCCAAGGTCCCCATGCTCCCAATTTACTCAGAAGATCCTGTGTTTTTCTACTTTCTACTTCCCATGTAGATTAGATCTATGTAAATCTCTCTTAGTATTTGCATTGTTGTCTAAGTTCTCTAGAATTATGGTTTGTAGGCTGGCTTTCTTTGCTTTATGTTTAAAAACCATCTATGAGTGAGTACATGTGATAATTGTCTTTCTGTGTCTGGGTTACCTCACTCAAAATAATGTTTTCTAGTTCCATACATTTTCCTGCAAAATTCAAGCTGTCGTTATTTTTTCTGCTGTGTAGTACTCCATTGTGTAAATGTGCCACATTTTTCTTATCCGTTCTTTGGTCGAGGGGCATTTAGATTGTTTCCAGGTTCTGGCTATGACAAACAAAGCTGCTATGAACATAGTTGAGCCATGTCCTGTGGCATGATTGAGCATCCTTTGGATATATACCCAAAAGTGGTATTACTGGGTCTTGAGGAAGGTTGTTTCCTAATTTTCTGAGAAATCACCACACTGACATCCAAAGGGATTGCACCAACTTGCACTCCCACCAGCAATGCAGAAGTGTTCCATTTTTCCCACAACCTCTCCAGCATAAGTTGTCATCAGTGTTTTTGATCTTGGCCATTCTTACAGGTGTAAGACGGAATCTCAGAGTTGTTTTGATTTGCATTTCTCTGATGACTAAGGATGTTGAACATTTCCTTAAGTGTCTTTCATCCATTTTAGATTCCTCTGTTGAGAGTTCTCTGTTTAGGTCTGTACTCCATTTTTTTTTTTATTGGATTATGTGATCTTTTGGTGTCCAATTTCTTGAGTTCTTTGTATATTTTGGAGATGAGACCTCTGTCTGATGTGGGGTTAGTGAAGATCTTTTCCCATTCTGTTAGCTGTTGTTTTGTCTTGTTGACTGCGTCCTTTGCTTTACAGAAGCTTTTCAGTTCCAGGAGATCCCATTTATTAATTGTTTCTCTAAGTGTCTGTGCTACTGGGGTTATATTTAGGAAGTGGTTCCCTGTGTCAGTGCTTTCAAGTGTACTTCCCACTTTCTCTTTTATAAGGTTCAGTGTGGCTGGCTTTATGTTGAGGTCTTTTATCCATTTGTACTTGAGTTTTGTGAATGGTGATAGATATGGATCTATTTTCATTCTTTTACATGTTAATATCCTGTTATGCCAAACTTAATCTTATAGAAGAGTGTATGTTGTTAATTACGTTGGATTTTCGTTCCACCAAGTGTGCAGAGGGCAACCTTTTCCTGTCGGACATTACAGATGAAGCTGCACTGGCTATACTTGTAAGAACTGGAAGGCAAGCCAAGCAATGATGGTGTGTGCCTTTCATCTCAGCACTTGGGAGGCAGAGGCAGGTGGATCTCTGTGAGTTCAAGGCCAGCCTGGTCTACAGAGTGAGTTCCAACATAGCCAGGACTACACAGAGGTACCCTGTCTAAAAAAAAAAAAAAACAAAAGAACCAAAAGAAAAAAAAAAAGAAAAAGAACTGGATGGTAATAGGTAGATCACTGAAGTGGAAGGGTGTGGCAGAAAACCTTTCAGCCCTGGGTCGTCTGCCACATGAGCAAGATACCAAGACTCACACTGCCCACTGTCACCATGTAATACCACAAGTGCTTTTCTTTCCTTTTATGATTTATTTCTATTTTATGTACATTGGTGTTTTGCCTACATGTATGTCTGTGTGAGGGTGTCATAATCTCAGGAACTGGAGCTATAGACAGGTGTGAGTTGTCATGTGGATGCTGGGAATCTAAACAGGATCCTCTAGAAAGCAGCCATTGCTTTTATTCACTGACGTATTTCTTCAGTCCCAAAGAGCTTTTCTTTAAAGTATCCTTTCATGCAAGTCTTGGTGGTGCAGGTCTGTAATTCTAACACGCAGGAGATAGTGGTAGGGGCTGGAGTATCAAAGTCATCTCTGGCTACATAAAGAGTTTGAGGCTACTTGAGATACGTAAGACCCTGTCTCAAAACAACATACTTTCTTCCTTGATTTCAAGGTCCGATGTCCATGTTGTAATTGCTCTTATGTTTTACCCGACAACTGCCAGGCTCAGAATGTGCCATACTCAGGTTGTAAAAGACCTACCTGGGCATCTAGTGGTCCATCAGCAAATGGAGTGGAGGATTCCTCACACACTGCGAGACTGCGTACCAACTTGAGCTTGGAATTAGACTGAAAAACATAACAAACATCAAAAATACAGTTCATATATATTCCTTTGGTGAATATTTAGAAAATACCTTCTTAGATTCCATTACTTGCAGTTCCTAATAAGTAGTACTGTTGTTCTTTTTTAAAGGTTCTAACTATGTACCTCTAGCTGTCCTGGGGGAGAATTTCGTAAATATTAAAACTCATACAGACAACCATTCTCCTAGGGAAGCCAGGAGTGAGCAGAGAAATCAGTATAAACAATACCAAATACCCTCAGGCTCCATGGAGTCTTTTCAGGCATTGTTTCAGGTTCAGATATAGACTAGACCTGAATAGGAGTGAAAAGAGAAAGACTTTTCAGTAGGAAATGTATGTAAATATGCATGCAACATTAAAGTGGTGGTGGTGCATGCCTTAAGGGAGGCAGAGGCAGGCAGATCCGTGCTGAGTTCCAGGCCAGCCTGGTCTACAGAGCGAGTTACAGGACAGCCAGGGCTACATACAGAGAAAACTTGTCTAGAAAAACAAACAAAAAAGTACATGCATCTATGTTCACACAGTGTGTGATGGACGCTCATGACTGAGATATAAAAGGCAGGCAAGACCGCTCTGCCTGTATGTAATCTGAGAACCAGATACCACCAAAACACACGTTTACGAAATGTGTAACAAATGAAGTTAGGAAGTAAGAGGTGGAAGAAGAGCTCTCACCTTGGCTCTTTTCCTGGCATGACCATGGCTGGATGTCCGCCTCTGTTAGAAAAGGATTAAAAAAACAGGAAAGGTGGGGAGATCAATCCTTCTAAGCAATGCACATTAACAACAGCAACAGCATACTCATTATTAACTGGTGTTAACTGTCATTATACTATGGTGAAAATCACTTGGCGTGGTTGTTGCCCAATTCTAACTCCATACAGAATTAATCTTGTATCCCCCTCTACTTTCAAAGCACCATTCACCACGAAGCAAAGAATAAAATGCAAATAATTTCCTAGGTTATTTTGTATATTGATGAAAGTCTTAGACAAATCATGGAATCCTCTCCTGACTGTATGCACTGCCAGAGCATGAAATGTTTTTTCTTGTAAGCTTGCTCACAGAAGTCTATTTAATCCATAATGGAAATAAAATATGATTCCTCAGTGTCTTTCTCTCATTTTGAGACAGGGTCTCATGTACCTTAGGCTGGCCTTGAACTACCGGCATCCATTAACATGCCTGGCTTACGTAGCACTGGAGATCAAACTCAGAACTATGTGCATGCTGGTCAGGTGCTCTACTAAGTGAGCTATGTTGCTAGCTCCCTCCCTCCATTTCTTTTTTGACAGGGTCCCACTAAGTAGTCTAATCTACCTAGAATTTCACTCCTCCTGCCTCAACCTCCCAAGCAATGGAATTATAGGTGTGTGCAACTATACCCAGGTATAACATTCTTATTTCGTAAAATGTTTTAATTTGATTTTTTTATGTGTAAAAGTGTTTTGCCTGCATGTATGTCTATGCACCACATGTGTGTAGTATGCATAGACACCAAGAAAGGGCATCAGATCCCTTGGAACTAGAACTGAAGACTTTTGTGGGCTGCAATGTGGGTTCTGAGAATCAAACCTGGGTCCTGGAAAATCAGCCAGTGCTCTTAACTGCTAAGTTGTCTGTCTCTCCAGCCCCAATATCGTTTTTTTAAATTACATTTTACTGTGTGTGTGTGTGTGTGTGTGTGTGTGTGTGTGTGTACATGAGCACCATGACATGTAGTGGCAGCAAGAGGACAACTTAACTTACAGGAGTTGTCTGTGTTCTTCTACCATGTGGGTTTCAGAGATCAAAATTAGAGCACTTCTGCCTGCTGAGCCATGTCCTGGCCCCGTAACATATTTCTAGGACAACTCATCTAGAGTTCCGAGTTGATATACCCAGAACATCTGTCCCTGTAGTCGCAGAAATGAAATGGAGATCTTCCTTCCCTATGTATCCCCCTGACCCATTTTTGGTTTGTTTTTATGAGACAGGGTCTCTACATGGCTCTGGCTATACTAGAACCCATCATGTAAACTAAGATGGTGTCAAACTCAGAGATCCACCCGCCTCTGCCTCCTGAGCAATGCTTCCCTTCTAAAACAAGAGAATTCTCCTAGTTCTAAGCTTCCCAGTGGTGGTCTAGTAGCCTCTTTGGGTAAGAAATGTGGTATAAGACAGGATAAAAAACAAAGAAGATGGGAGACAGGGATAAGCACTCCAAAACAAAGAGGAGAGAACGTGGATATGGAGTATGGCATCAGCCGAGGAAAAGGAAGGATGATGCTGGAGGCAGGTGTGGGGGCAAACAAACAAGTACCTGCTAAGATTTCTGAGCATGTGAGAAGTCATCATGGGGCTTTGAGGAAGGTTAGGGTAAAGAAAAAACTGAGGCTGGAAGATGGGGGAGGTCAGACGAGACAGAGGCAGAATATCAGCATGGTCTTGGTGAGGTAAGGGTTTCTCTTTCTTTAGTCCTCTTTACAAGTTAAACAACTCTGCCGCAGCACAAAGTGGAGAAATGGGATGGTGGGTGAGGGTAAGAAATGCTGGGAAAACTAGTCAGTGGAGAGGCCTGCTGCGACAAGGGAGGATGGGCAGTCCACAACACAGAGCAGTATTTCTGCCCTTTTGAAGAGGTAAACTTACAAATGGCACGAACATTCAAAAGGTATAATAGTTAAATACTGAGTACTTTCATATTTTCCCCGCAAATACTTGACCAGGTTCCTTCCTCAATAGTCTATCAGTACTGAATTTCTTTTAAATTTATCTATGGACTTGTATATATATATATTTAAGCTTACTATAAATATATACACTGAAAAAAATCAATTATATACACTACTCTGAACTTTATGATTAAACTAACTTTCACAGATATCATTCCACAGAATATATATTGGTTTTTGTTTTTTTTCCATTGTGTGGCTATGCTACAGTTTTTACCAACCCCTTTAATTATATATTATTATAATTAATGTTTCTAATTTTTACTAGTACAAACTGTGACCATGTTTTTGAGTCTAGCCATTAACACAGGAGATCAATGGTCCATTTTACAATCTTTCTAAAGTGCTGCTAAACTGCCCTTCAACTTGTATAAGTGTCTATCTCTACTAATAATATATGCATCTACTTCCCATAATGAAGCAAACCCAGGTTAAAGCCTAACAAATATCAGGCACCAGGCAGAGAAGGCATATACACAATCACACTTTCCTCGAACTTTTCAACTCTCATTTCTGAAACATAATACTGAAGCACAAAATGCTAGAAGTAATGGCTGGAGTTAAAGGGCTAAGTCATATGATGAAGAATATGAGACCTAGCTTCAAGCAGTAAGATACCCAGAAAGCTTGAAGAGAATTAATATATTCAGTTCCTTATTTCACAATCATTTTTCTAAAGCAGCAGAACAGATGAACCCAAAGGGATTATAAATATAAAAGCAGAAAGTCCAATTAAGAGGCCATCCTCAGCTGGTTATTAATACAGCACACTTGAGTATGTGTTAACATAATAGCTTACCCATTCTAAAAAGAATCTCAGAACCCTCATTTTGTACCATTAAATCTCCCTGTAAAATCTGTTCTGAATTCCAATAACCAATTCCCAAAATACATGTTACATGGCCCAAATAAAAAAGCCTCTTCTCTTTTAAACTTTTCGGCTTCAACTCAGAAAGAGGACTTCTTTGACAGCACCAGTCAGTTCACTGGGAAGACCACAGAAGAAAGAGGGGGGAGAGAAGCAGGAGGAGAGGAAGTGTTCTCATTGCTGCTGAAAGAACATGGTTGAAAACCAGAAGAGGACAGAGGGCATCCTAAGGAACTGCTAAGGGATCCAGGGTGTGTAACAAGAGCAAACACTCTGGAAAAGGAACAAGAGCTCCAACAGATGGTAGTAGCTCCATATCCTCTGGTGGGAGCAAAAGGAGTGAGGTGAGAAGGGGAGCAGGTCTTCAACCCTACAAACTATTTGTATATCAAGATACAGATATTTTTTTAACAAGAAGAGTGCCTCCTAGGAAATATAAAACCTAAAATGCTCTTTCTTTACTGTCTATCTTTAAGACGTATACACAACAGGAGTTCAAAAGATAATTGTCTCCTAAAAACAAATAACTCAGATCTAATAGTTCATTTAATTATTATCTTTCATGTAATCTTGACAGCATATAATTAAACACTCATCACGTATCTGTCCTGCATATTTAAGATTCATTCTTGGTATCAATGGAGGCTGGAGTACATTTGGAACTGTGGCAAACTGTCTCCACATACTCTGGAAGGATGGGTGGGGAATGACAATCGACACATATAAGAAAACAGAGAGAAAAGTATCCAGGACACAGATCTGGCAAACTAACAGGGAAGACAATAGAAGAGCAGACAGCTGGAGAACAAGTGTCTTAGGGAGTTGTCGAACTTTAATTTGTCCCTTTATGTTGCTGTTGCTTTAATATTTAAAAGAAGCAAGGCCTATGTGAATTAAGTTGTCTTGAAAAATTATGCTTTGAGTTTCTAGACCTTCTAAACTGAAATTCCAGTTTTAATCAGGCTTTTGATAGAGTTAATGTTTATCTTATAGGCTTATAATAAAAGACTAATCTCATCCTTGGGCATGAAACAAAGGATTCACAGAAACTGAGCTTGTGTAACAGAAGAAAACTAGAGTAACCACAGAGAAAAGAGCTCTTTAACAGGCTAGCTAGACAAGGCTCAGAATCTGAATACACTGGGCATGGTGCTACAAGCCTTTAATTCCAGGCAGAGGCAGGCGAATTGCTGTGACTTCAAGGCCAGCCCAGTATCTTTCTGTGACTGTCCTGGAACTCACTCTGTAGACCAGCTTTGTGGCAAATGCCTTTAACCACTGAACCATTTCACCAGCCTCTTATGACTTGGTAAATGTGTTTATATGCAACTTTTTGTTTTGTTTAAGGCAGTGTCATACGTAGCCTGGACAGGCCAGCCTGACCCTCCTGTCTCTGCCTTTTAAATGCTGGGAATACAGGTGTGCACCATGTACTTGCTGCTCTTGTAGAAGACCCCGGTTTGGTTTCCAGCATGGACATGGACACTAACAACTATGTTTAACTTCAGTCCTAGAGTATCCAATGACCTCTTCTGGCCTCTGAAGACACAGTACAGTATGAGGACAAACACATAGACAAAACACTATACCATCTAGCTATATCTGTATCTGTCTATCCATATATCTAACTGTATATCAAGATGGTTCTGGGCATGGTAGCAGCACACAGCTGTAATCCTAGCACTTTGAAGGGTGAACTTCAAGCTTAGACTTGACTACACATCAAGTTTGAAGGTCAGCTTGAACTACATGAAATCCTGTTTTAAAAGCACTAAAAATAGTCCGGGCAGTGGTGGCACACGCCTTTAATCCTAGCACTTGGGAGGCAGAGGTAAGCGGATGCCTGTGAGTCCGAGGCCAGCCTGGTCTGCAGAGTGAGTTGCAGGACTGTCAGAGCTACACAGAGAAACTCTGTCCAAAACACAAAACCAAACAACAAAAAACACTAAACATAAATAAGCAAATAAATAAAAAATCCAAGTGTAGGTTGTCCCTTGTGCTCAGTGGAGTACAGCCACCCCAACGGCCTGGCCCAGGAGAGTGCACTGTGTATCTCAGTGGGGGTCTGCTTTTTAGTTGCAAATCTAAGCTGCAGAGTAATTAACTGGTGGAGATAACACCCATATCTTCTCATTGCTTGGGGATGCTGCCAGAAATGCAGTAGATCCTCTCCCTTTGAGGTAGAGCAGTAGTTCTCAACCTGTGGGTCACAACACTTTTGGGGTCGCTATCAGATCTCCTGCATAACAGATATTTATATTAATATTCATAACAGTAGCAAAATTACAATTATGAAGTAGCAACAAAATAATTTTGTGGTTGGGGGTCACCACAACATGAGGCACTGTATTAAAGGGTTGCAGCATTAGGAAGGTTGAGAAGCACTGAAGTAGAGGATGCCATGTTGATAATGGCAAACAATGGTGCCAGGAGCTCCAGGACCATGGGCTCTGCCAGCTTAAACTTGCTATATTAATAAAGAAAAGGGAAGAGAGACCCTCTCCCACATCCCCTTCTATACTTCTCCCTTCTTCCCACCAGGTTCCCAGCACTAAGCTCAATGTGCCTTTGACAGAAGAAAGCTTAGCAGTCAGAACCTCAGACAGGCTTCAGACAGCACCAAAGGGCAGGACAATGCTGCCGAACTGCACCAAAGCAGCCTGTGCTACTACCAACAATAAACATGTGACCAGCTGTCTCTAGCAGGAAAGCAAGGGTGGGAAGTGTCCTCCTGGATCTGAAGAGAAGGGAAGAATGGGTCTGCCTGAGGAGGCTCAGAAGAACACCTGGAAGCCTGCTTTTTTTTTTTTTTTTTTTTTTTAAATTTTTTATTTTTTTTTTTTTTTTTTTTTTATTTATTTATTTATTATGTATACAATATTCTGTCTGTGTGTATGCCTGAAGGCCAGAAGAGGGCGCCGGACCTCTTTACAGATGGGTGTGAGCCACCATGTGGTTGCTGGGAATTGAACTCAGGACCTTTGGAAGAGCAGGTAATGCTCTTAACCACTGAGCCATCTCTCCAGCCCCCAAGCCTGCTTTGATGTAAGGGGATGCTGTGCTGGCCATTTTTAATTTTTGTACCTATATAAAGTTTATAGTTGGCTATGCTACTTTCTGAAACCATTTTAGAAACTATTCCTTTCTTGTGTACAAGGAAGCAATCCAAATTATATTAAGATGAGTATTGAATGATATGCCTCAAGAAAGTTGGGAAGCTTCCTCGTGTACAGCAAAGGTACAGCTTCGAATTAGAAAAAAATGCAGCAAATATACGAAGAGTTGGTGAACTCAGGTCCAAACAGATTGAGATTTCGTTGTCTTCTTTTGATTTCATCATGAACTCTTTATACAGGGTGGTTTTCTTTTCCTTCTGAAAGACAAGGTTTCAGGTAGCCTGGCCCTGAACTTGCTAGACAGCCAAGGATGAGCCTGGACTCGCTTCCTAAGGGACTGTAAGCTGTCACAGTGGGCACCAGCTTGACTCAGACCTAGAGTCACTTGGGACAAGGACATCAACTGAAGAATTACCTTCATCAGCTGACCCGTTGCCAACTGAGAAATTTTCCTTTCTTCTTTTTCTTTGATTTTGTTTTGTTTTGTCTTGTTCACTATGACTGTCTAAAACTCTCTATGTAGATCATAATGGCCTCAAACTCAAGAGATCCATTTGCCTCTGTCTCTGTACACTATGATTACAGGCGGGCTTGAGGCAGAGGAGGGTCCAGTCCACTGTGGACCGTGCCATCTCTAGACAGGCAAGCCTGGGCTGTACAAGAACGATACTGAAAGAGTCAGTAAGCAGCCTTCTTTCACAAGTCCATGGTTTCTGCTTGAGGTACTGCTGGAGGCTCCCTCAACAATAAACTGTAACCTGTCCACTGAAATACCCTTTCCTCCTCAACTGCTTTTTGTTAAACGTTTTATCACAGCAACCAAAAGCAAAGCAGGACACAATGGAGCAAGACTATGCCTGGCTCTGGGTTAAGTTTCTGGAGAGCTCATACCAGAAATCGATAGATTCCGACCATTTTCTACTTCTCTTCAAGCTAAAGGACTATAAACAGCACACGCTTACTCCTTACCTGTGTCTCCTGGCGTAAACCAGTATCTTCACCCTCTTTCTCAACTTCTTCCTTACTTGGAGTTTTAGTTATAAATTTGTTTTTGCTTACAGATTCTTCCACCAGTTTTTTTTCTGATTCTTTCATTATCTCCAGAGTCTCCTGAGTAGTATGACTGTTAGACATGTTCTGCAGAGGACACAGCAGTTTCTATGGGCTCCTGAGAAACACCAAAGGCAACAGATGAGAGGTACAGCTTAACACACACACACACTCACGCACACCACACAGAGAGTCAGCAGTTTCCCTACAACCTAGAAAAAAATTCCTCTGGTAAACACCACCTTTGGATTAATTTCTTTTATTTTATCATTTAACTAATTTTATTTATTTATTTACTTATTTATATTTTTTTTTGAGGCAGGGTTTCTCTTTGGCCCTGGCTGTCCTGGGCCTGTAGACCAGGCCTTGAACTCAAAGAGATCATACTGCCTCTGCCTCTAAGTCCTGGGTTTAAAAGTGTGTATTAACCACACCCAGCTTTCTTTTCTTATCTTCTTAACTTCACAGCTCTCCCTCTCTCTCCACCACCCCTGGCCAAATGTGGTCTGCTTCCCATCACTTCAAATTAAACTGCATTTTCTAGATACTGGGTGCTGCAAACCAAACCCAGACCTCACTTGTGCTAAGCACATATTCTATCACTGAACAAGTAGCCACATGCATTTTCTAGAATTTCACAGAAATAAAATCACACTGTCTAGGCAATTTTCCTCAGCATAATTATTTTGATATTCACCCGAGTTCGGTTCTAAAGCAATTTAAGATGAATTCTGAGTTCTCTTGGCACTTTATATGCTGTCAGCTACAGAATCTGCTCATATTTCCAGCTGTATTATTAAATCACTAGATTCTTTCTAGAATAATGTATCATAAAGCTCTATTCATCACCAGAAACACCCTTCTTTAACAAAAGGGAGAACTACCTCCCACAGCTACGACAAACCACAAAATTGTTAGCAGCTTCAAGATACAGACTATTAAAAAGCAGCTCAATCACCCAGCAGCACAGCATCTTACAGTCTTCCTTTCACACAGCTGAAGTGCACTACAAGAGAAGAACTTTCTAACCATCTGTCCTCCAAAAAGATTGAGTATCTTCCTGGAGCAGGAGAAAATCCTAGCTTTGCTAGTCACTGTTCGGTTCAGTCAATCTACCGCCTCCCAAGGACATAGATTATATATGACTAGGGTGGCTTCTCATCACGTACTGTCACTGCCTGGGAAATATCTGGTTCCTGTAGATTCCCAAAGTGATCTAAGAAGATGCTCTATAGATAGATCCACATCTTTTTTTTTTTTTTTTTTTTTGGTTTTTCGAGACAGAGTTTCTCTGTGGTTTTGGAGCCTGTCCTGGAACTAGCTCTGTAGACCAGGCTGGTCTCGAACTCACAGAGATCCGCCTGCCTCTGCCTCCCGAGTGCTGGGATTAAAGGCGTGCGCCACCACCTCCCGGCTCTTTTTTTTTTCTTAAAGTTTTCTAAATATATATTCTTAATTTCTTCATTCATCACTCTCAGGTGGCCATCAGGTTAGTATCAACTGTGCTCTCCTAGCACTTCTTGTTCTGGTATGCAACCACACTGCTAGATGACTTCTGGGTAACCAAAGATTCAGTGGTGAGGAAAATAAACAAAGCTAGTGTTAGCCAAATCCTCAGTGCTGACACTTTGCATCTATGTTCCCAACTCACAGAATTAGCAAATGAAAAGGCATGGATTTGAAGCAAGTCCTCTGCCTCCAAATGTCCTGTTCCTCTGGGTCTCCCTCAGAGTCTCGCCATGCCTTTCCCGCGCATCCGCAGCCTGGGCTGAGCCGCAGCCTGGGCTGAGCCGCAGCCCAGTGGGCTCGAAACTCTGGCCTCCTGAAGGCACATAGATCCACATTTTTACTGCTGAGGCCAAACTCTCTCAGCATCAAAAATGCTCATAAATGCTACTTCTTACAGGGACCACTGAGTATATTTTGATCCTGAATAGTTTCTTTTTTCCTTAATTCAATCATATTTATTCCCAGTATGGCTTTACAATCTGAGCTAAATAAGTAAATGATTAGCAATGCTTCCAGAAAGTTGTCAGCCAGACATTTTCTTATCCTTCAAATCGATTTAAAGGGTCAGACCCCAGTCTCCCGAGCAGCACAGGTAGCCTCATCGGATACAAGCTAAACTGCCTGCAAGATTTCTGTTGTCTGCCTGGTAGCAGCTCCCGAGCAGCTGTTAGAGACCTAGTTTGCCTAGAGATAAAAACTATTTTGAGCATAGTGGTACACATCTATAATCCCAGCACTTGAGAGGCAGAGGCTGGCCTGGTCTACACAGTTATTTCCAGGACAGCTTGGAATACACAGATAGACCCTGTCTCCAAAAAAAAAAAAAAAAAAAAAAAAAAAAAAAAAACCCAACAGTTGACAGGTGGGCGTTCCGGTATTTCTGTATTCTCAGCACCTGGGAGGCTGGAGCTGAAGGAGAGACCCTTGAGCCTTTTAAGTTTAAACTGGACAGGGGGAGGGGAGGAAGGTATTGTATATGGACATCCCACCTTGAATGTACCCAATGCCATCTAGATGGGAGAAATAAAATACTGTTCTAGATATACTGATTAACTGATGCGTGCTACAGGCTTCTATTGATGTGGGATTCCCCTCTCTATGCTGTGAATATGTTTTATTACCATTGGCTAATAGAGAAGCTACTTTGGCCTATGGTAGGGCAGAACAGAGCTAGGCGGGAAAACTAAACTGAATGCAGGGAGAAAGAAGGTGGAGTCAAGGAGATGCCATGTTGCTGCCAAAGGAGAAAGATGCTAGAACCTTCCCAGTAAGACACAGCCTCATGGAGATACACAGATTAATAGAAATGGGTCAATATAAGATATAAGAACTAGGTAGGAGTACACCTAAACCATTGGCCATGCAGTGTTATAATTAATATAGTTTCTGTGTGATTATTCGAGCCTGAGTGCCAGGAGATGAAGGTACAGTCTTCACTTAAATTCTTCTTTCTTTTTTTTTTTTAATTTTTTTGTTTTGTTTTGTTTTTTGAAACAGGGTTTCTCTGTAGCTTTGACCAGCCTGACCTTGAACTCACAAAGATTCACTTGGCTGGGATCAAAGGTGCGTGCCACCACCGCCCAGCAACACTCTATAGAAAGTTATAACCCACAAGTGTTTCTTATCATTGGCTATATAAGACTTTGTTTCTATCACATCATGCATACCTAGCTTTTGTTTTGTTTTGTTTTTTTTTGAGACAGGGTTTCTCTGTAGCTCTGGAGCCTGTCCTGGAACTAGCTCTTGTAGACCAGGCTGGCCTCGAACTCAGAGGTTCACCTGCCTCTGTCTCCCAAGTGTTGGGATTAAAGGACTGCACCACCACCACCCAGCTTTACACACGACTAGCTTTAAATTTTTTTAAATTGTGTGTGTGTGTCTATGCCACAGCATGTGACTTGTAGGAGCTGGTCCTCTTTGTTCACCATATAGAATTCAGGGATAGAAGGCAGGTCATCATGCCTGGCAGTGAGTGCCTTTTCCTGCTGAGCCTCTTGAACCACCTTGCTGGCCCTGCTGAGTTTCTGTATTACTCTGTCCTGTCAGGTAAGTCAAGCCTCAATGTTCTTTAAGGCACCAGGCTGTGGGTAGGCTCACTTCATCTCCCACAAAGTCAGAGCGTTTACCTTTAAATATAAGACTATTCCTTCTGGGAATACTTTCCTAAAAAAAACCCAACGAAATTAATCTTCCTGTTACTTGGTCCCATCGGCTCACTTAGCTTTCTACGCCAGTTATAAAAAAACAAGCACAGGTGCCAGGTGATGGTAGCGCATGCCTTTAATCCTAGCACTCAGGAGGCAGAGGCAGGTAGATCTCTGAGTTCAAGACCAGCCTGGTCTACAGAGTGAGTTCCAGGACAGCCAGGGCTACCTGTGAGACCTGTCTCAAGAAATAAAACAAGTCTGGGTGTTGTTGTTCCAGAGTGAGTTCCAGGAAAGCTCCAAAAATACAGAAAAACCCTGTCTCAAAAAACAAAAGCAAAGACAAAAGAAATAAAACAAAAAAGTGTAATTTTTTCAGTTTGTACAATTACTTTTGTAAAAGCAGGCATGCATGCATTTTTTAGTATAAAATAACAACAACCAAATCTCTAAAAATTGTTTCAAGAATGTAGAGAAACACCCAACGTAAGTAGCAAACAGCGCGCTGTACCTAACACTGCACGCAGCACTTCTGCATTTCTCACACTGCTCCGTGACTGTCTTCTCTGATAACACACGCCATAAAGAGCAAGTATGAAAACCAGACATTTAGTGATACTAAAAATGTCTGATGGAGACTATCTTGTTGGCACTGGCCAATCACAGGCACAGTAGCTTCAGAAGCAGGATATACATATATTTAACAAGCATAATACGTTTGTCAACCCCTTACAAAAGACAATTTTATGTTCTTTCCTTATTTAAGCATTCCTCGTTTAAGTTCAGCCTCCAATTAAAACTGTTTCAAGTCTTCTTATCATCTCCCAAGCATTCTCATTGTTTCAAAAACAGCAACAAAACTCTGTACTGACAGACACACATATGCAGGAAACAACAGGTTACAGGACATGCTAGTTATGAGAGGTTTGAGAGAGTTACTAATCCCAAACACACACTAAATACAGAACCATTTCTCCTCCCTTCTTCTGCCCCCTGTACATGGCTTGTTTGTTTCTTTGTCTGTTAAAAATCTTAGGTTAGTTGGGCCTGGAAATCACCATGGAGCCAAGGATGACCTGCCTCCACGTGCTAAGTGCTACCATTCCTGGTGGTGACACTGTACCTGGCTCACATTCCTGCTTCCTCTCTTCCAGGCTGGTTCTGCAATAATAGTTCTCCTATGTCAGCCTTCTAAGTGCTGTGATTAAAAGTATGTGCCTGGCTTAGTGTTTCAAAATATTTCTATCTTAGTATTTTCAATAAAACTTCTTCTTAGGGTAAGGCATTCTTCTGTTCTTCAAAATAACCTTTTTTGTTGCTATTTTTTCAAGACAGGGTCTTACTATGTAGCTCTGGCTGTCCTGGAACTCACTCTGTAGACCAGGTTGGCCTCGAACTCAGAGATCCGCCTTCCTCTGCCTCTCGAGTGCTAGAATTAAAGGTGTGCACCACATTTCTGCCTTAA